ATATTGTAACACATGTCGTCCTTGTGACTCGAATTTTGGTTGCTGTCTTGACTGATTTCTATTTTGATATTTCTATGGAAATGTTGCCAGCAGTGTTACGAATGTGGAAATATTGATGACAGAAATAGCAGTATGGCTGATGAAACAATAACAGTATTAATATTACCAAATGTGTCAGCATCTCTTGCTTAACGACAGTAAACCTCGTTCTTCTTGGCATTGAATTATTGGTCAGATTCCACATATAACATTCAGGTGTGGCAATGGCGATCAGCAACTTCGTTAATTTATGTCTTGAACAAGTCAAAATAAACGATGCGAGGCATGTCAGAAGGACCCAACCTGAACTCTGTGCATAACATCAGAGATTTTCCAAACAAATGTAAAAACGCCCTGACTACTTTGTCTGTAACTTGGGAAAAGTCCTTTTTCAGCGTCTGTTAAAACGACAGCATACTTTGTCCGCAACTGAAAGTGATTTGCAGGTCAAAGAGGATCCAAGTCTGGTCCCATACATTTAGAAACGTTTCTTGTATTTTCACGGCTGAATCGTCAAATTGAACATCATCTATATTATAGTTCGTGGTCTTCTTGGGTCTTGATTCATGGGTTGTGCTGAAGCGAGCCTTTAATACAAATGTTATTTTCTTGTCCCATTCCTATTGTTGATATGTGGGATCCAAATATTTGGCCAAGACATTAACTGCTGTCTTATTAGGGCAGTGGGGTAGCCCAGTGGTTAAAGCGTTCGCTCGCCACGCCGAAGGCCGGGACGATTCCCCACATGGATACAATGTGTGAAGCCCATTTATGGTGTCCCCCACCGTGATGTTGCTGGAATATTGCTAAAAGCGGTGTTAAACTAAACTCTCTAACTCACTTATTAAATCTTTTGACCATGCTATAAGATTGTCCGTTATACCCGAGCATCATCTCTTCATGTTCATGGGATCCTGTAATAAATGCCCCGTACATTCGCAAATGCCCTTCCCATTAGCTAAATCGACAGGATTAAGTATCAGAAGTTAATGTCCAGGGCCTAGATTTTCGAAGCTCTCTTAGCGCTAAGATAGTCGTAAGTGCCATACATTAACATTAACTTACGACTATCTTAACGCTAAGAGAGCTTCGAAAATCTAGGCCCTGGGTTTTTCCAGTAGAACACATTCACAAGATTGGACTTCAATTACAATACGGACTCTCCCAGAGTCTGTGGCAAAGAACCAACTCTAGGTTGGCCTAGACATCGACAGCAGATAATTCCGGCTCTCATTAAATATTTAGAAATTGGAGATCGACATCTTTGTCCAGCTGGGGCTTTGGGTTCACTGGCAGAGACACACCGTACAGGAAGGAACTGTTTAGACTAGGCTATTCGATAGTTATCGACAACTCTCCGGTACCTTCGTAGCATATGAGATTCCGGTCTATATCAAATGGTCCCTCTCCACCGTCTCTTTGTAGCAGGTAGTTTAAAATAAGTTGACAATTGGATTGGTTCGGCATCAACATCTAGTAAACTAGAGCTCAAAAGCCCTTGGATTGTGAGTAAAGTCACTACGAACCGGTTGTTTAAGTTTCCACATTTCATGGGCATATTCAAATCACGTGTTTTCAGTTTATTCTAAAATGCTTCAGGTTCCTGAAATGACAAAACGTGTAAATGTAGAATATTTCACTAACTGTCTGAAATGTTCTAGCACCAAATACTTTTGTCAGTTTGGTCGTCTGCCCCTGTCTCGGTTGGGGTATGTTAGACACGAGCGGATCAAGATCGGATAGCGTCCTAGGTGGTCACTGGTTGACATGTGGTTGCGCTCAATCTGGAGCACACAACCGGCTGATAACCTGACCTGTCACTTGGCCATTTGTCTGGGTAACTTAGTGTAAGGAGAACGGATCTGAAGGTTACTGGACATCAGCCATTGTGAACGGATGTCTTCTAAGATTCCTTCAGTATGGCCAGGTTAATAAAAAACAGTCCCATTACACCGTTGGCGTTGGGAAGATACTAAGTTCTGTGATGTCAGTCCTGTTCCATTCTGTCCGGGATGTCGTCACGATATGGCTGAGATATTGCCGATGTGACGTTAAATATTAACTCACTCACTCACTCTGTCCGGGATGGAAGGACCAGCAGGCGGCATGGTGTCCCTTGACTGGATATCGAGCCTCTTCGGACAGACTACAACCAACAGGGTACAAAAGGGTCCCTAGCTACATGCAGTTACCATAAACCTTATACTGGGGGGACGCCACCTTGTTTCATCAGACACGTTTCACGACCACACTTCCCAGGGAATCTTAACCCACTATAATGGCAGTAAAGATACACTTAGATCAAAGCTAACTACTGTCCGACAAGAATATGATGAAAATAATTACTGGTGTCTGAAATCACTAACATTCAAAATCATACATTATATACGTGTTCCCACAGTCAAGTTACTGTAAGGAGGGGATATCAGGTAAGGTGGTTGCAAGTGAGGTGATATCAGGTAAGGTGGTTGCTAGTGAGGTGATATCAGGTGAAGTGGTTGCAAGGGAGGTGATATCAGGTCGGGTGACCACAAGACGAAGAGTATCGGGTATGTGGCACCTTGGATGACAATATCAGGTCAGATGACCACAAGACGGGGTGATATCAGGTATGTGGCGCCTAGGGTGACCTGATATTGTCACCCAAGGTGCAACATACCCGATACTCTTTGTCTTGTGGTCACCTGACCTGATATTGTCATCCAAGGTGCCACATACCCGATACTCTTCGTCTTGTGGTCACCTGACCTGATATTGTCACCCAAGGTGCAACATACCCGATACTCTTCGTCTTGTGGTCACCTGACCTGATATTGTCATCCAAGGTGCCACATACCCGATACTCTTTGTCTTGTGGTCACCTGACCTGATATTGTCACCCAAGGTGCAACATACCCGATACTCTTTGTCTTGTGGTCACCTGACCTCATATTGTCACCCAAGGTGCCACATACCCGATACTCTTTGTCTTGTGGTCACCTGACCTCATATTGTCACCCAAGGTGCCACATACCTGATACTCCCCGTCTTGTGGTCACCTGACCTGATATTGTCATCCAAGGTGCCACATACCCGACCAGACTATGGCCTAAAATAAACAAGGAACAGATTGTTCTCAGTCTTTTAATTGTCATTATTCTTACCCACATCTGGCTGTGTTACCCAGTATTGACTGGGACGGTAATATCAACAACAGAATGCTGAAGACATACAGAAGACAAAGACATTTTCTCACCAATAAGACACAGTATGTACATATCTTGAACATATTGAGACCTATTGAGCATGCTGTTTTGTCCAAAAACAAGTAATTAGTGGAGTTGTACTAGAATCAAAACATCAGCCACTTATATTTCTGGGCGTATGGATATTGTATGTATAGTCCTGATCGTTAGGCATGAAATGACAAAATATAACAGTTATCATTTCTTTTCTTTGGGGATGTGTTCCGTCGCTGTTGTTACTAGGAGTGCTCACGATGTTTTCTCTCAACGTACACTGTACATTTTGAAGAATCCAAAATGGCTACAACAGCGGTAATTTGATTATATTTCAGCCACCTCATTTTTAACTCAGAGCCATAAGACAAGCTGTTTTAAATTATACTTAAATCTCCTTGTTTACGCGGAGTAAAATATATGTTTAAACTATATAATGTTGACATGGTTCTTGCGGGAAACACAAGCTTGTAATCAGCTGAATATACGATTTTGTTTTTCACATGTATATTGTACTAGTCAGACATAACATATTGTATGGCAACGAAATGTATAATTACATAGGTGATTTTACCAGCTAAATATGGCTTCCTTTGAAGGCCAAGCTCATCTGTGAATTAAACTTTGACTCGAATAGTACTAAGACCACAGCTAAATATTTTTTGCTTGTTTTTTTTTTTTAATTCGTTGTATTTGGGCATGTGTGTTTTGTTTGTTGTTGTTTTGTTTGCTTTGTTGATTTTGTATTTTGTTTTCTTTATTTTAAGTTGTTTACTTTTGTTTGGGTTTTCTTTGGTTCGTTTTGGTTTTGGCTGGGGGTCTTTTTGTTTGTCTTTTCTCTTCTTTTTTTTTTTATGCGGTAACACTTCCTGTGTATTTCAGTAGAAAGAGTATTATGTACAGTTTTTAAGAACTAGTTTTTTAGTGGCCCATTTCAGCTCAACATACATCAACACTTCACATCCAGACCCCAATAGATTTCTTTTCTTTGGGGATTATGTTCTGTCCATCATGTAACTTCTTTCAGAGACATTTAGAAGTTGGGGCACTGCAGAATGATAACAATATATGCATGAATAACTTCTTTATTACAGTGGGGGCTACGTTTTGATGTAGGTTCTAACACCAATATCAAGTGAGTGATCTTTCCTTCGATGTGATTAGTCAGTTCGTTAGCACTGATGTTTACTCTCAACGTTCACGGTACATTTTGAAGAATTTATTTGATTTTAACTCAGGCATCAGGTCATTCTCCTCTCAGAAGAAACTGGACAAATTGTAGTTTAAATTGGCTTAAATGTGCTCAAAGATTCCGGAAGTCCATCTGCAGCTCTACACGTCAATACTGCAATGCTCTGACTGACTGAGTTTAGTTTTACGCCGCTTTTAGCAATATTCCAGCAATATCACGGCGGGGGACACCAGAAATGGGCTTAAAACATTGTGCCCATGTGGGGAATCGAACCCGGGTCTTCGGCGTGACGAGCCAACGCTTTAACCACTAGGCTACCCCACCGCCCCCAATACTGCAATGAAGTGCATTAGGGGCTTATTAATACATAAAATACCCATATCTCTCTAACAGCACTATGCATACAACACTTCTAATTACACTAATATTTGACCATAAATCAGGCATTGGTACAGTAGGCCATTCTTGGCAGCCACTTTCAGCTAAAAATGTTTCAGACCAATGACCTGGCACGAAATTCAAGAGAATCTTTGTACAAACAGAAACACGCACACACCCAGTGATGAAGACACACACTCTGTCATTATCTATTTATTGACAAGGAGAATGTGATGCCAGCACTCTGTACAAATGGATACGTGTCAGGTCAGAATCATCAGCATCGGCACTGTCTAGGAGCTCGAGCCGACCCTGCTGTAGAGGTGCGGTCAGGTCAATAGACTCCACACACTGTTCCAAGTTAATGCCAGTCTGAAACGGCAACAATAGAATTTTCACCCTCTGTTCAGGAAACGATTCATATTTTTCTTATTCCACATAGCTAGGTTACATGGCCCAGTGGGATTTCCAAAATTATTCAAATATCAAACAGTGCTGCACACATTGGCCACACACTGTCAAAGGAGATCTCTTAATATTTCAGATGCTCTCTTCAAGCGCTGTTTTCCAGTTTATCACATTTGTGCATATAAAAGTCATAATCACATGCAAACATAGGACAGGGACCAGACAAGACAGACTAAATATGATAAAACATAATCACACAATCAATAAAGTCAGTAAGTGTAACCACACAATCCAGTTACGACAAGCATGGTCTTTTGGGACCTATCCCAGAATCCCCACACAGTCTGCAGGTGCTAGTCAACAGGATATTTAAAATAAAAAAATAAAGTTTTAGGATTTTTGTTGACCTTCAGCAACAGACGGTATTTAAATGTCACCACAGCAAGTATAATCATGGCTGGGTCAGGTTAGGGGAAACAAAAGAATTTTAGATTTGGTTGAATTGTGTGTTGTGTCATTGTTGAAGAAGATTTGGCTGAAATCTTTTATAATGTTTAACAATAAAAGTGCAATCAACTCTTTGTCAACAATCTGTTCGACAACATAAAAGAACATGTGGTAAAATGCTTTTACAATGAACATGCATACAACAAAGTGACGGAAATAACAAAATGGTATTTTTGTCACAATCACTTGCAGTAAATTGAGTATATTTTTTTGTCAAAATGCAAATAGACTATAGTTGTAACGAACTGAAATAAGTGGCCCCTTTGATTTCGTTGTAACCACAGATGTAGTTTTTCATCACTCTACTTAAAATCCTTTGATAAGTAAAATAATAAAATTAATTGGTCACGGTTACTGAGAAATGTTCAATGGAAAATACCTTCAGCTGTTGTAACGACTCCTCCAAGCTGGGGACCGTCACAAGGATTGTGTTGTTCCTCAGAGTCGCGAAAAGATAAATCCACAATCTGCATATCAAATAAAAGTTTGACTAAGTTTGCAAAATTTGCTCACATGGCAGACAGTTTTGTTTTGTTTGTTTTTTCAACAACAACAACAAAAATGATTGATCTGGTAAACAAAAATGTACATCAATTATTTCAAGGCAAATGTATACACCTAGGAACCAACTATCTGGCAATGAGCTCAATAGATTTAGGACCTCTTGATCCTAACAACACCAGAATAGGCTGATTAGGCTCTATATATCTCTCATAGGTTAAACAGCACTGTTCCAAGAATATTGTCAAATTAGTAAATTACATTAAGGCACCGGTCAGTTGTTACAGTGAATGAGGTGATGCAATTGTTGTAAAAACTATCATCTATGTTATGTAACATTTTTTCAAGCCCCCCTTAAATACATTTATCCAGCCTCATGTAAGAATGTCGAGTTTTGATTGGTTCACATGACTCTGATAAAATACCATGTACACCCGTCACGATCCGCGAGCAGGGAGTACAAAATTCATATTATCCCGCCACACCTCGTTGACCACGCGAAGTGAGAAAAGCGTGCATCGCCAAGCCTTTAGTAACGTCGCTGCATTGAGGTCAATCGATCAGCTGGTGCCAACATGGCAGCAAGGAAACGTTTTGCCACAACAACAGAGAATGAAATTGAAGCAAAACATTCGGCTAGATAAATGCGTTATCACATCGTGTCGAGGGAAATACAACCTTACAAGTGACTGATAAAACCCTGTATTTCCCTCGACATGATGTGATAACTTATATTAATATTTATTTAAGACCCCTCCCTAATAACATCAAATGATCAATTTCTAATTAATCATCAGACTGTCATGGTAACTGTATAATACCCCAGGGCAACAGTTTTATAGTTATGTTTAATGTCAGATGTAACTTTCTTCCCCTCATATGATGGAGGCCCGTACATACCAAGTCTGGCTCAGAAACTTCTTTGACAAGATGAACAAATATCCACTTGATCTTTGGACAATGACCTGCTATCAACAAAATTCACACCCAGTCAAACATTTCACCATGCATGACAAGCACAGAATCTCAGAATCTTGGAATCCCCATAATAGTAATCCTCTCTTTCTGAGCAATATGAATCTCCCAAAATTATCACGTATAGCTGATGCCAGACCAGTCATTGTCCCAAACTTGTGGCCATGTCCCAGACACAAGTATATCAAATCAGAATCATAGTCTGACCACTCAAACAATTCCAAGTCTAAAGTTAATCTTCTGTAATGCGCTACTTACTTTTCTTGCAAATCTTTTGGCACAAAGAACTCAAACACATTGTTCAAGATAACCACATCACCTGCAAAAGAAGTTCTTGTTTTTACTGACACAATAAATTATAATAGCCAAACATGCTATATGGCATGTATGCCTATCACAGACTGGGTTCTGTCTTACATATGCGCATACTCTCCTACCCAGACTTTGTCAAAGTCAACCAAAACCCTCAGCCTCTGACCAGTGAAATGTGACAATTCATTGCATCATATCCTGTTCATTCACAAATAACATGTAATATAATGAGATGTTATGGGACAAAGCATTTAATGTGCTTAAGTGTTAGACATGATTTTTATTCTCAACAAACCAAGCCAAGACTTGGACATTTTGGGCACACATTTTTAATGAATATGCTGGAGTATACAATCATGATCATTTTTCTCAGATTTACTTTGCAACATTTAAAACTCAATTGTCACAAAGGAAACTCTTGCTCTGAGGTAAGTGGGTCAAATATCAAATTCACACACTGTCCAAAACATACTAAAAAATTCGAAAAGAAGAAGCCGAACAAATTCTCTAAAAAATGTCCTATCATCCAGTGTGTCTCTTGACATGCATTCAGAATGAGTAAGGTTTTACGCCATTTTTAGCAATATTCCACCAATATCACAGCAGGGGACACCAGAAATGGACTTCACACACTGTACCATAACAGAATCAAACCCAGGTCCGCAGCATGACTAGCAAACCTTTAACCACTAGGCTATCCCACCACCCCACAATTATTCTGAATTTGTCCTGAGTAAAGCTGAATCATGGCAGGTATCGACTACTGGTACACTGTCCAAACAATGCATGAGAATGCATCCAGATTCATCAACCAAGGTAGTGTTATCTCTGAAATCACTGGAGACAATGAATGGACATCATACAACAAATGTACAACAAATATGGATGATATTTTGTTGACGGTGCAAACATTTAAGTCCCATGAGGAGATATTTGCCATGAAGTACTGTTCGAAACATTGAACCCTTTTCACTGACACTCCATCATTTTCACTGACTCATCTGCATCTTGTTTGGAACGGTCAATATCTGCACCTGCTCTACGGACATCCGAAGGGCATACTTACTGGACGCTATCAGTGGTCCTTGGTTGAGAATGTCGTCGTGAATGACCTGCAACAAAATCATTGTTCCTTGCAACATTCAGTATCATTACCAGTGAGTGGAGAGTTGATTGGTTGGTTGGGTGTGGGTGTGTGGGTGTGTGGGTGTGTTGGTGAGTGAGTTTTACGCCGCACTCAGCAATATTCCAGCCATATGGCGGCGGTCTGTAAATAATCGAGTCTGGACCAGACAATCCAGTGATCAACAGCATGAACATCGATCTGCGCAATTGGGAACCGATGACATGTGGCAACCAAGTCAGCGAGCCTGACCACCCGATCCCATTAGTCACCTTAATGACAAGCATAGTCGCCTTTGTGGCAAGCATGGGTTGCTGAAGACCTATTCTACCCAGATTTTTCATGAGGTGAGTGGAGTGTGAGATTGAGGTTGGGTGGGTGTGAGTGAGTGAGTGAGTGAGTTTTACCCTGCACTACTAACTCAGCAATATTCCAGCTATATGGCAGTGATCTGTAAATAATCGAGTCTGGACCTGACAATCCAGTGATCAACAACATGAGCATCTATCTACGCAACTGGGATACGATAACATGTCACATGTGTCAAACAAGTCAGCACGCATGACCACCCAATCCCATTTGTCGCCTCTTAAAACAAGCATAGATTACTGAAGATCAATTCTAACCAGGATCTTCATGTTGCAATAACAACAGTAATGGTCTCTACATAAACGGTTGCAATATCAAGCTGACATTATCAGAGCCCGTGAAGATCCGGGTAGATCTTCAGCAACCCATGCTTGCCATAAAGGCATTTGCTTGTCGTAAGAGGCTGACTAACGGATCGGGTGGTCAGGCAGATCATTGCTCATGATCACTGGATTGTCATTGTTCATATAGCAGCAGCTAAACTCACTCACTCACTCACTCACATATCAGACATTGGACATCATTGTTCAACAGCAGCAAACATAAGTCGACTGAATGAAATCTACTACAACCCAACCAGGTATTTGGTTTGTTCTTACTTTCATCCATATCTCACCTTAATGAAGGTACCTATAACTGATCAAATCTGGACCAGATATTGAATGATTGATATTGAGATCAATGATGTGCACGCGGTACACACATGATGAATTAGCTCAGATTGTTCATGATAAACACAATTGTTTGGTTGGTAATCAACTGTATAACACTACTTCAGAGTGGGCCAGCCTTAACAAAGGTCACATGCAACCAAAAATCAAACATAATTAAAACACAATTATCACTTCTTCATGACATATAATATGCATTGCTGATTATGAAAAAACAAATAAACAAAATTATAAGCGTATAATCGCAAATCAAAAGTGCAATATTTTGTACTTCGGGGTTTACCTCCCTCAAACGGAAGCAGCCGGGATACCGAACCCAGTCAGAGCGGGTGGGTGTGCACTCAAGTGTAACGGCTGGTTCATTAGCAGATGCCGCCTTCACGGCTCATTGTGTGTGTATATATAGAGATGTTGGGTTTTGTAAATACATGCTCATTTTTTGTGTATAACATTTTGCTATCAACAGACATCATAACATGTCATGTGTTCAAGTATCACACCTGCCTGTCTGTGTAATTACATAATGTGACAGAGACCGAACTCGGGCCATAAATCAATGCGTTTTGTTTATGGTGTATAGCCTGATTGGTGTTAAGTTCAAATTGCATGTGGTCAGTGATCGCAGTTGTGTATTGAATATTGTCATTAGCAGACAGGCAGGCAGACACACAGGTGTCAATAAAACAAGACATTGAGTTTTGTCTGTGACAACGGCATATCTATATCACAGTTAGAAATTGTGTCAACGCTAAATAATGACATTGCTTTTAAGTATCGAACTGAGAAAATGACTGGTAAGAAAGAACGTGTGGTGAAATAGACAAATGAAATTATATAAACAGTTTATTTACTGTAATAACATATAAAAAGCTCAGCCTGTGAGATATCAACAAAACATTATGAAAATATCTCACACCAAAGCCTTCACCGGTATTCACCAGACAGCCCGGCTTCCAAGTTGCGCGAACCTATTTCACTGCGCCGTGCTATGAGCGCAGCCCAGCTGTTGAAACCATTATTCCCAGAAAAGTCTGGGGAAAATTAGTGAAACGTTTGAACTCGATTTCATGGCGTTTTTTTTCATCGCGTTATTTTTCAACTTTATAAGTTGAACTTGCATTTTGACGCTTTGTTTCGTAAGTCCATACCGAAAGGTATCATCAGAATCTGCAAAGTTGTGTTTTACGTTGCATGTGACCTTTAACAAAGGTTGTAGGGGCAGTAACACTTAACAGTACAAAGATGGAGAATCTGTAGCATCTTCATTTACAGCAGATCCAGGGTCTGTAGCACTAGAATGTACAACAGATCTAGGCTTTGAAGCACTTGAATCTACAATAGATCTAGGGTCTGTAGCACTAGAATGTACAACAGATCTAGGCTTTGAAGCACTTGAATCTACAATAGATCTAGGGTCTGTAGCACTAGAATGTACAACAGATCTAGGCTTTGAAGCACTTGAATCTACAATAGATCTAGGGTCTGTAGCACTAGAATGTACAACAGATCTAGGCTTTGAAGCACTTGAATCTACAATAGATCTAGGGTCTGTAGCACTTGAATGTACAACTGATCTAGGGTTTGAAGCACTTGAATCCACAATAGATCTAGGGTCTGTAGCACTAGGAATGTACAACAGATCTAGGCTTTGAAGCACATGAATCTACAATAGATCTAGGGTCTGTAGCACTAGAATGTACAACAGATCTAGGCTTTGAAGCACTTGAATCTACAATAGATCTAGGGTCTGTAGCACTAGAATGTATAACAAATCTAGGGTCTTTGTAGCGCTTGAATCTACAACAGATCTAGGCTTTGTAAACGCTTGAATCTACACAAGAATGTACAGATCTAGGGTCTTGAAGCATTTGAATCTACAACAGATCTAGGGTTTGAAGCATTTGAATCTACAACAGATCTAGGGTCTGTAGCCCAGGAATGTACAACAGATCTAGGGTCTGAAGCACTTGAATTTACAACAGATCTAGGGTCTGTAGCACAGGAATGTACAACAGATCTAGGGTCTGTAGCACAAGAATGTACAACAGATCTAGGGTCTGTAGCACAGGAATGTACAACAGATCTAGGGTCTGTAGCATTTGAATCTACAACAGATCTAGGGTCTGTAGCACAGGAATGTACAACAGATCTAGGGTCTGTAGCACAAGAATGTACAACAGATCTAGGGTCTGTAGCACAAGAATGTACAACAGATCTAGGGTCTGTAGCACAGGAATGTACAACAGATCTAGGGTATGTAGCACAGGAATGTACAACAGATCTAGGGTCTGTAGCACAGGAATGTACAACAGATCTAGGGTCTGTATCACAGGAATGTACAACAGATCTAGGATATCTAGCTCTGTAAATTACAACAGATCTAGGATCTGTATCACAGGAATGTACAACAGATATAGGGTCTGTACCTGTATTCTGTCCGCCATGTTGTACTTGGCAACAGCTGCAGTCTGGAGGCTGGTGAACGTTGAGTCGATCTCCACCCCAACAATATGCTTGGCCTTGCTGTACAGGTACGCCTGGTGGAGACACAAACTCTTGTATTTCTGCATTACACCAGATCATTACAATAGAAATTGAAATAAAGAAAACTATTTAGTCTTCCGACCATTTCCATAACTATGTTGGTAACAATACAAATCTCCACATGACTTTGCTCCAAAGGCAGGGGGATGTACCTCTCCATTTCTCCAAGCTGAATCATGCTCATCTTCTTAATTATATCTATAAGATAGCCTTACCTTTTATAAATATCTGTTTATGATGTGTGCAACTTTTTTTTAAATATAATAATAATAATAATAATTGATTTATAGCCCCATTTCCAAAAGATTGCTCAATGGCTAAAAGAAAAAGATTGTAACACATTGAGATATAATAAATAATTAATTCAATAATTCAAAAAATTAATATTTTTGTCAATCCTTGATGAAGGTTTGGCAGAAACTCCTTCAAAGCAACTCTATTAATGTTTCTCAGGCAAGTAGAAACACATCACACTAACAATGTTATAGCCAGATTGCATCAGTACCAGATGTATGTAAATGATTCACTGTACCCCATACAGCACTGCGCCTGTCCGAGACCCCACATCCAGCACAGTCTTCCCACTGAGGTCAGGCAGGGCGTAGTTAAAGATGTATTTCACCTGAGCTGCTGATGCTGAGTGTGTGATGAAGGCTGACAAACAAAATGTAAATATGTAAGTAAAAGGCAAATATTATGGATGCCAACTTCTTCTTTATTGTATGTTACGTTGTTTCTGGGCTATTCCATGCCCATTTGTCAGGTGAATCGTGATGAATCAGTGAGGGATTGTTACCATCACAAGCTGATCAAAGCAGTTCAAACCATGGTCAATGGTTGGTCTGTTGCTGTTTAACGCCGCACTCAGCAATATTCCAGCTGTATGGCAGAGGTCTGCAAATAATTTGAGTCTGGACCAGACAATCCAGTGATCAATCTACACAATTGTGATATAATGCCATGTGTCAACTAAGTCAGCAAGCCTGACCACCCGATCCTGTTAGTCGCCTCTTAGGACAAGCATGGGTTACTGAAGACCAATTCTAACCAGGATCTTCACAGGTTCCCATGGTCAATAACAAGATATACAATCCCAGCTGTTGGGATATAGTGACACACAATGTCAGGTCATACATTGGATCAAGAGCCACCGATTCCTCTTTACAGTCTGCTATACTGAGGATTTATTGTTCCCCTCTCACTTCACGATATTCCACTAAAATGACATGTTGAATCCTAAGGCAAAAAGCCTCAGTGCACCCAGTAGCAAATGGGTACCCAGTTAGCTGTTCTGATAATGTGACTGTTAAACGTATCGTGCTGGTAGTAGAAGAGTAGTTGTCCAGCAATGAATAGCAGCAACAGTAGTAGTAGTAGTAGCAGTAGTAGTAGCAGCAGTAGTAGTAGTAGTAAAGTAGTAGTAGCAGAGCAATAGTAGTAGCAGTAGTAGTAGCCTAGCAGTAGTAGTAGTAGTAGTGAGTAGCAGTAGTAGCAGTAGTAGCAACCAGCCGCCCAGTAGTAGTAGCACCAGTTGCCTAGTAGTAGTAGTGTAAGTAGTAGTAGCAGAAGCAATAGTAGTAGTAAGCAGCAGCCCAGTTGCCTAGTAGTAGTAGTGTAAGTAGTAGTAGCAGAAGCAATAGTAGTAGCACCAGTTGCCTGGTAGTAGTAGTGTAAGTAGTAGTAGCAGAAGCAATAGTAGTAGCACCCAGTTGCCTAGTAGCAGTAGTAGTAGTAAGTAGTAGTAGCAGTAGTAAGTAGTAGCAGTAGTAGCACCAGTTGCCTAGTAGTAGTAGTAAGTAGTAGCAGCAGTAGTAGCAGAAGCAATAGTAGTAGTAGTGTAAAAAGTAGTAGTAGTAGCAGCAGTAGCAGCAGTTGCCCAGTGCCCGGTAGTGTAAGTAGTAGTAGCAAAGCAATAGTAGCACCAGCCTTGTAGTAGCAGTGTAGTAAGTAGTAGCACCAGTTGCCTAGTAGTAGCAAGCAGCAACCAGTAGTAGTAGTAGTGTAAGCAGTAGTAGCAGCAATAGTAATAGTAGCAGCAAGTAGCCTGGTAGCAAAGTAGTTGCCTAGTAGTAGTAGTGCCTAAAGTAGCAGTAGTAGCAGTAGCAGCAGCAGTAGTAGTAGCAGTAGCAGTAGCAAGCAGTAGTAGCAGCAGTTGCCTAACAGCCAGTTGCCTAGCAGTGTAGCCAGTAGTAGCAGTGTAAGTAGTAGTAGCAGCAGGCACCAGTTGCCTAGCAGTAGCAGTAGCAGCAGTAGCAGCAGAAGCAATAGCAGCACCAGCCAGCCAGTGCAGAGCAGTAGTACCAGTGTAAGCAGTAGTAGCAGAAGCAATAGCAGTATGCAGTAAGTAGTAGTAGCAGCAGCTGGCAGTAGCAGCAGCAGTTGCCTAGTAGTAGCAGCAGCAGCCGTCTGGTAGCAGTAGTAAAGCAGTAGCAGCAGCCTAGTAGTAGTAGTGTACCACTACAGCCGCCCGTAGTAGTAGCAGTGTAAGTAGTAGTAGCAAGCAGTAGCAGCAGTAGTAGTAGTAGTAGTGCAGCAGTAGTAGTAGTAGTAGCAGTAGCAGTAGTAGTAGTAGCAGCAGCAGCAGCAGCAGCATTAGTAGTAGTAGTAGTAGTAGTATAGTAGCCAGGTAGTAGTATTCTTCCATGTTTCTACTATAACAAGCAGCACTTACTGAGAGGCTGGACCTCCTGGGAGCCACAGCAGCAATCAGTAGCATGCAGTAAGAGTAGTAGTCCTGTTTCTCATCTGGACCTCCTGATCCTCACACAGGTCATCTATGGCATCCTCGTCATACAAGAAGGCATCCACGTGCACAGTGGTGCTCGGATCACAGTCGGCATTCTGAACATACAAAATGGGACATGACATGAGTGAATGAGTGAGTATGGTTTTATGTAGCCGTTAGAAATATTCCAGCAATATCACGAAAGGGGACACCAGAAATGGGCTTCACACATTGTACCCATGTGGGGAATCAAACTCAGGTCTTCAGCGAGACAAAGGTTCCTTTTGAACCATTTGGCTACCCTACCTCCCCTAACATGAGATGAAGGGACATATGTCCCATCTGTTTTAAAATTTCAAAATGCATAAAGGGAAAATGAAACTGAAATAATGTTGTCAGGTTGATTTGAGTGTTATGACCTAAACAAATTCTCAAAATAAAGTTAAAGAAAATTAGAATTATAAACCATTTCTATTTAACCGTATCTAATTAAACACATTCTTTTTAACACTTTTTTATAAAATTTAGTACAAGGTGGTCCATAGAAATAGAACTGATTAAACTATCAAGCATATTTAATATTTTCTGTTATTTTCCACTTCAAGGCGAACAACAGCAGTCCCACTTTGAATGTCTGTACAGAAAATTTTAATCTGTTGCACAGTTTTACGTGCAAGGAATGAGTCAAATGCAAATGCACATTTGTGGTGCAAGAAAGGAATAAATAAACTCAAACTAATGGACATAACGTTCATAAAATGCATATAAATGTTGTTTGAAGTTCTTTCATAACTTGCAGCATTTTTTTTTAACAGATTACAAACATAAAGCGGTGCTGATCTGTGGAATACTGAAGAGTGGTGAGTTTATCTTACCACATGCAGGTGTACAAAGCTATGTGACCATAATTCCGATATCTTCATATCGACTTACAACAGTTGTAGCACTAATGTATTTTTCAACTTACAACAGTATTTTTTGTACAACAGCACCCTGGCCCTCTCATGCTCAAAGCTGTCCAGAGTGCTGGGTTGTTGGTCTAACAGGGTCCAGATTAAGCAGGTTTCAGGACACACAACTCACTGGTCCTGTCTGGGGGAAGTGGATGTTCTCTGTGTGTGACACAGCATTGACCGGCAGCTCTGACCGCAGGTCACTCTGAATGCTCTCCAACATGACATCTTCGTTACTCTTCTCCCTTGTCACATCTCCCCATTCACCTGACACACATTATTCATTGTCAACACAAAACTACTTGAAATACATCATGAAACAGTAAATGTTTTGCTGCCAACTGTAACACATGTTATATTTGGGGTTACATTTTCTCAGTAAAGTACATGTTCTAGTACATTGTCGAAGTACTTTCTGGGATTCGAACCCACATCCTCGATCAGAGTCAGGCACCTAATTGCCAGCACAGAAAGTAAGCGGTTTAACCCACTCAGCCACCACCGCTTCCAAAACAAATCCCAAATATAAGATGTGTTACATGTGACCACGTTCTTCAATGGCATTATGTATTCACAGATGTCAATTGTCTGTCAATGCTAATCTGAATATATTACAGTTTATTGTTTTCAAATGTATTCGAACAACCCCGTAAACATTGTACACTAGAGCAGAGACCATATAATAGATATATATATGGTCTCTGACTAGAGTAACATGTTGCAAAGCTTCACCGTGATTCTACATAAATAAAATAGAAAACATCATTAACATGACTAAGGTGAGCTAAAACTGTTCATCATCATAGCAGAGACCATATAATCTATTATATATGGTCTCTGATCATAAATCTCAAATTGACGGTCATTTTATTCCTTCTCATAGAATTATAATACATATTTGGAGAAATATGAACCTCTTCAATCATAAGAGAAGTTATTCATGTAGTACATGGAAAAATTGGCCAGTGTCTTAAGTTGATCCATGCAAGTCGATTCACAGAGATTGGGTCAAACATTACACTTTAAATAACGATACTCTCCTGTTTTACATTCACATTTATACCTGAGTTTATTTTATTCTTGATCCAGCTTAGAAATTGAGACCGGACGTCGTCTGAGACATTATGTAGAACTGCTTCAAACTGACGTTTCACTGTCTCTATATCTGCCATGTCGATTTCAGGCAGCTGTCGGAGAAATGAAAACAGTCACACGTGTTGATGTTAATTCCGGAAGTAGGGGAATCCTTCAACCGCGCATGCTCGTAGGGAATCCCCTGTGGAAAGAATATTCTGGCGGGGAATTCAAAAACACTGACCCTGTCGTTTGAGTGAATAGTATGCATATATTTCGCTTTTATCCTCTGGTAACAAACCAGAAAGGACTTGTTTTACGTTGAAAAGAAACGGGCTGCATTTCTTTAGGAAGAAACGATAATTGATAGATCTATTTAAATGAGTGAGTGAGTTTAGTTTTATGCCGTACCCATGCAGCAATTCAGATGACCAAGATATGGAGCCCATATGGATGTTTACACTGGTATATGTAATGTTGAACTTACGAAAGGAATATGTCATATTTATTGTATTTCGGAATTGACGGCGATGTTAAATCATTACGACACACGTGCGAATGAAACAATTTCTTTTGGCACCCCTTATTTCCTAATCCTTTTGAGTTCACATTCGGATCACGATCGACCGCGGTGTCAGATTATCACAATTACCAAATGTCGTTAACAATGTTCTGCTATAACCTTGAATATAAATTAATTGTTATGCAAAGATTGTTTTCATTCTTCATACGTCAGACTTGAGTTTCTGCATCGACTCAGAATTTTACGTTCACAATGTGATTCATCCCAGTGATGTGTTCATGAAGGTGTTTTTTATATGTAGCGGCATTTCGACTTTTATCAGAACCTGCATGGTCTTGTATGTAGATCTTTCTAACGTATCAGGATAACAAATATATTTGGATTAAGGGAACATTTGCTACAGCTACTGCGCATTGTCGATTTAAATAGCACCGATCGTACATGTAATTACTTCGTTAACGCAATACATGTACATATCACAGTGTTTGCCCTTAACCCTGAAAAGCTGCAAGCCCTAAGGACCCAGAACCATAAAAAGTTGTGGGTCCTGATCATGTGTTGGCCCAATATTTTTACTACAATATAAATAATTCCCTGCAAACAAAAAAATGGGACAACTAACAAACTGAGTTAAAGCGTTTAATTTAGAAATTTAAACTAGAAATTACTAATTGATATTTTCTGAAATAATAATACTCTTATTTCTCAGGGATGAAAAAGCTGTCCGCATACAGACAAAAAATAAAAGTTGTTTGATTTTCAAAAATAGGAGTGGTTTTCAGTCGGCTTCGGGCCTAAGGACCGACGTTTAATTTCGAACGCTGACATCTCATATACATAAATAATATGATTTATTTTTTAAAAAAGATTGAAAAACATACTCGAATTAATTGTTCCAATGGTTAAGTGCTTTGTAGAGGCCCTTATATTTTTAATTCTAATAGTATAATGGCACTGGTCCTTATATCCGCGCTTGGCATATCCCGTCTTCAATGACGCTGAAGAGCCCATTGTTGGTTCAGAGTTCTGCATTCCTCCAATCAGGGAGACTCCCTGCTCCAATTAACCACCATGGACAAGGTGATGAAGTTCCATTATCTGATGTGTATGTGCTCTTGTTACTGGGTTTGTGCAATCACACCATGTAATGTGCAAGTCTAATACAGTTGTATTACGACATCCATCAATCAATATACCTGCACTGTTTTGTAGTACAGTGCCAATATCCATACTTTAGCTGCTTAAAAGTCTGTCTGGAACGCCGAACAGGAAGTTATAAACTCTAGAAGTGCTGTTAAAACAAACTTTCTGTTCAACAGAAAATTACAGGTTTGTTATTTCAGTTCGTGTATGTAATCATTTATGACTGACTGACTGACTGAGTTTGGTTTTACGCCACTTTTAGCAATATTCCAGCAACATCGCGGCGGGGGACACCAGAAATGGGCTTCACACATTGTACCCATGTGGGGATTCGAACCCAGGTCTTCGGCGTGACGAGCCAACGCTTTAACCATTAGGCTACCCCACAGCCTAATCATTTATGCTTATTGTTATGATCCTCTTTTTTAAAAGTGATTTACACCGCCTTAAAATACAGAAACCGACGTTCGTTTGATATGACCTGATCGTGCTGCATGTATATTGCACGCGCCTTTCAGGCTGGCTAACCATTTCAGTTTTGTTTGTTGTATAACGCCGCACTCAGCAGTATTCCAGCTGTATGGCGGCGGTCTGTAAATAATCGAGTCTGGACCAGGCAATCCAGTAATCAACAGTATGAGCAGCGACCTAAGCTGGTCTGATACGATGACATGTGTCAACCAAGTCAGCGAGCCTGACTACCAGATCCCGTTAGTCGCCTCTTACGACAAGCATCGGTTGCTAAAGACCAATTCTAACCCTGGTCTTCACGGGTACCATTTCAGAGATCCAACCTCCCACCTATAGGCATCCGGCATACCACTTACTAGTAATTTGTCTTGACAAAGAACTTGTGCGTCACAGAATGTACACAGCTGGTACAAGAAAATTAAAGAAGAATTTTCACATAGAATGCATAACCATGCATACTCATGAGCTTTATAGGGGTGATTAAGTTATTGGTTTGTCACTCTCCGAGAAGGGATACGATGAAACCGGCTTCAACACTTTAAACTACATCCTACCAGATAAATATTTCATCTGCCACACCGATAGGGGGTTGGCACCCTTTTTCTTGTTTTACATTTTCTGGGCCCTCAATCAGACATATTGAATATTAGACTGGGGGATTGGTAGCAGCTGTCGAGAGGCTGAATGCATGTCAGGATAGTATTGATACATACGTAATGAAGTCGTTAGATATGGTAAAATGCGTATCGATGTGGGCTTCCATACGTTTGATCAAACGCTGTGAGAGTCCAAAGGAAAACATTTCACTTGCTACAAATGTTGCCATTCAAGTATTAACCGCTTGCATTTTAACTTATCAGTTTTGAATGTTTGCACTGCTGCCGGTGCTGCCTCAGTTGGTGACGTATTTGATCTGGACAGTGAGTGAGTGAATATAGTGTTACGCCGCTTTTATCAACATAGTTGTTTTATCCAGCAACATCACGGCGGGGGGAAGGGGGGGGCCTGAAATGGGCTTCACACATTGTACCCATGTGGGGAATTGAACCTGGGCCTTCGGCGTGATGAGCGAACGCATGAACCACTAGGCCACCCCACCGCCCCTGATCTGGACAGAATGTATAGAATTATTACGGACATTATTTTTTATTTTGAGCGAACAGTCGTTTGGAAATGGGACAGGTGGAGCGAAATCACAAATATGTCAGTATACAGAGGACCTATCCTGCACCCGAACTTTCTGGAAGTGGCTTATAATTAGCTATGGGTCGGTTGGAGAAAATACTTGCTAGCTTTAGGTGCAAGGAAAGAACTAAATGTTACAGACACAAGTATGTTTGAAATCTGTTTGTAAATTGCCTAAAGCAGCACAGTATTGCAGTCATGTGGAGGTGGCCTGTAAATACATCGAGTCACAATCCAGCGATCGATATTGTGAGCAGCAGTCCGAGACTTCCGGGTAGGTGACATGCAATCAACGAAGTCCCCCAGCATGACCAACTGATCGCTGGGTATCTATTCTAACACAGATTCTCAGTGGGGTGTCTTTTTACAAGTTTAAGGCAACTGATTGACCCAATGCTTGCCACTGTGTCTGGGTCAGAATTGATCCTCAGTGAACCGTCCTAAGAGGCCACGAACAGGATCGAGTGGTCAGGCTCGCTGACTTGATTGATGCATGTCATCGTATCCCAAATGCATAAATAGATGTCCACGATGTTTATCACTGGATTGTCTGGTCCAGACATAATCCATGAGAGACTGCTGAGACAACTGATACAACTGCATCCTCTCAGGATTATGTATACAAGAGCATACTAACATCACTGAACTCGGCAGTATTACATACATCAAAGTAAAGTCTGGACCAGAGGAAGCAGGCATTCATAACATGCACTCCAGGCATGTGAAAATTCCAGTTGCCTAATCAACTGATCCTTCCTGTGGATCCATTCTAAGATCTTTTATTCCAAGATTCTACCCAGGCTTCATACCAAGTGAGCCTGATAACTCCACACCAGCAGTCCCCCTGACATACATAACAACTTTGCCTTTCTCACACAAAAAAACCCCATTTATTGGCACTTAAGCATTCTCTGCTACCAGCTACCTGGCAATAGGTACAAGCCCTAACATGTTATTCTTATCTAAAACTCCTTAGTGATTTTTCAGTTATGGGTGAACTCAAATCACCAAATAAGACTGCTTGGCTGACATGTACATTTATTGCTTTTCAAATATCGGTGACCAGTAGATGTTGGACATTGAAAGAAGAGAAGTATAAACCCATGATTTCACCACAAAAGATTTCATACCTGGTACACCTCTCTCGACCATGCCACTAAAATCGTCAAACCTCATTTCTATTCTAAGATGTGTCATGATATGTTGTTTTGTTTAATTACGTATGGGTTTATTTATTGACTTATATAAATCATAACGTCTGTCTAAAATGTTTGGGCGATGGGGTAGTGTAGTGGCTAATGCGTTCCCTTGTCCCACCAAAGATCAAGGTTCTGTTCTGGTGTCCCTTGCCATGATATTGCTGGAATATTGCACAAAGCAGCTTAAAACCATAATCACTCACTCCAAAACATGGTTGGACACGTGATGATCTACAGAAGGTTGCCAGTACACCATTTCTAATTATCATATCTAATTATACACATGGTATCTCCATATTATGGAAAAAGCAGTGATAAACTTGTGGTTTTGTTTATCACATCAGGTTCTTCGTATTATGGAGCAGTCACTGTCAGTTAATGAAAGTGGGCCCACGAAATGAATGGTGCAGATTACAAACAGTCATCACTTCACAGCCATTCCAGCTGTTTGTAACAAGTTTCCTTTGGTTGTAAATTGACAAAAGAACAATTATGCCACATTGTACAATTCAAATAAATATTGATGGTATGTACAGAATTGGGACAAAATAGGATTCCAAATTCTTTCCACATACATATTGATACTCACACCATATTTACAAAACCCAATTTATGGTGATATTAACCCTTTGTTTACACACACTGATTTTAGGTTGCATTTTACATGGTCAGCTGATTTGAAAAGTGAAATTTTCCCAAAAGTGGAATAAACTTATATAGATTAACAAATTATATAGATGTCTAATTTCTTCCAAGTATATTTGTTTCCTGATAATAAAAGGGAAGTAACCCTTTTGCAAGTTATTTCCCCAAACATTCTTTGCAGAAAGTTTGCTATACTATGTTAAAGAGCATTAGATTTCCTCCCTGAAACATGTGAAATTACAGGATGTATATATGTAACATCATGATCGGCTGACCCATATGACTAGTTAAGGGCAAGTAGTATCAGCATTACCTTTACCACTTTATAGGACAAGAATCTTTCAGGGGGAAAGTTTAGGAAAACGTCAATTTACCACAAAAACTCACTTAGTTTCAACACATCAACTTACAATTGATTGTCTGCAGAAAACATCAATATCTTCTTATCTCATACAAGCAATATCAAGCATACCACCAACTTCATGAACATATGTGACAAATATTGCATGACATGTGTCAACCAAGTCAGCAAGCCTGACCACCCTATCTCATTAATCGCCTCTTACAACAAGCATGGGTTGCTGAAGACCAGTTCTAACCCAGATCTTCACGGGTCTGTTAGCTATGTACAGCTTGTCACCACCATACTATCATCTGCAACCTGAATCACTGGGGGCGTCATGATATAACTGAAATCACTGAATACAGATCAATGACCCAAATGTTTGTAAAGACAAACAAGCCCATACTAGTCTCTACAAACATAATTATTTGGATAAATCAGATACCATATGAGGCAGACAGTCTCTGATAGCTTCCTCGTGTTATTGCTTTTTGGATGCTTAAGAAAATCCATTGGTTTCTCGATGATCACATGAACTGTAAAAGATATATTATAAAACACAACTATATCTTAAATACAAGCTATCATCTGTACTTACAATGTCTGTGTGACGCAACCAGCCTCATTATAGGGCAATTAAGCACTGATGTCTAAAAACACATAATCTGACGACATGCAAAGCCATCTGGTATGAATTCTTTCATCTTAAACTTGATAACAATTTATACAATACAATATAACAAATCATTGACGACATGGAGCACCATTAAGATACATACATAAGGTGATAAGGGGCCGTCCATAATTTATGGCTAGGGGGGTGATGATGATTTTAAGGGGGGTCACCCATTTTGTTCTGGTGAGGTGGGGGGGTCATCAATTTTGTACACATTAACTAGGGGTAGGGTCATCAATTTTGTACACAACATTATTAAAGATTAATGCTTAAAAAATATGGGAAGGGATGGGGGTCACTGATTTTGTACATGACATGCAGGGGGGTCACTTACTTTGTACATAAATTTTAAGAGAGGGGGATGGGGGGGTGTGTTTTCACTCACATTGTACATGCTTCTCCATAAAAATCATCACCACCTCCCCTAGCCATAAATTATGAACAGTCCCTAAGGGCTCATGAAGAAATATCCAAGGGTTCTGAAGAACACCACCTTCAATCTTCAGCATTGTTTCCATGGACATGAGTCCAGGTTTCCAATTACCACATAAGGCACAATTTCAGTATGTTTATACATTATATATATTCTGATTCTTATACAGACTATACAAAAACAACAAATAATTCTAAATGCAGTAATAGCACTGGGGTGTGCACAAATATGTCTCCACCACCGACTAGTCTTATCACAAAGTTGACTTGATGTATTACATTGGATAACCCATCTAAGTCCTGCTGTGGATAACAGTGGAGCTACTGTTACTGTGTTTTTGTTTGTTTTTGTTTGTTTGTTGTTTAACACTGCACTCAGATACAGGCATCCCTACGCCATAGCGGGTCTTGGGGTCCATGGATGACCCCAGCGTTATTAGACACCCAGCGTTATAAGTAACGATTACATAACAGTGGAACAAAGGCCAAAAATAAAATCGTATTTTCCATGGACATAACAAAATTGCTATTTCGTGTATTGTGCCCAGTCAAAACTATATCATATTGTTGGAGGTGAAAAAAACAACAACTTTGTAAATAAAAAATAGATGTATGTACATGAAACTTGCAATCAAACACCACAAGACATGATAATTCAATTGTTGTTCCTGTCATGCTACCTGTTATTCAACTAAGCCGGAAATAGCAATCAGCTGGGCACACATCGATGTTTTGGTCCAATGTACCGGTGATTCATTTAAAAACGATCCGAAAATATAACATCCAAGAATTTCTATTCCATTATCAGAATAATTGATATGTCAAGCAGTTATTCTAACAGAGATCTTATATATTGCTATCATTATAAGTATAATGCATGTTTTCTCTGAACATATTTAACATAATAATAAGCATTGCTAAGCACTTTGGGTTACCTGGCTGGATACATTTTACGTAGGAGACAGTTTGACAAGTCACCGCTGACTTCCCTTGATGCGTGCCACTTTGATTGTAAAAACAAAATGTTGGCAATTAATTGTCAAATATGACTTCAACGAGTCAATAACTTGGCGGTCTTGGGGTCAATGGATGACAAGGCTGTAATCTGTTAAGTGATTGCTGAGAAAAATGTGAAATTGGTGCTATCGCGGTAAGTGCGAAAAGCGGACCCTCCGCGAATGTAGTAGCGGGTGTTGTATGGAATGAGGTAATGCCATTTCACTCCGCGGTTTCTCCGTTGTTATTGTAAACAGTTTTAATGAATGAAAATGGGATTGAATTTAATCAAATAAAATGTGTTTTCTGACATCATACATTCTCGGATGGCGGTGTATACCAGCGCAATTACCAGCGGTGTGTTGCATCATAGCAAACTTTGTAAGTACTTTCGGCTGATAATCGACATGTCTTTATGATAAAGTTATTACGATGTTTAAGCTGTTCATCAATTATTATTGAAAAGACCCTGCATGTTTTAAGCATCTGAAAAACATGGATATATCACGATAAACACTGTTAATTGCAATCCGCACTGAATTTCACTAGTTTACTACGTGATTAACCAGAGCTCAACAGCGGATTTGTTGATGTGCTATTTTTTCGATCAACGTGAATATGTGTGATCACTGGGCAACTTTTTTATGGGAGGATTACCCGCTGTTTAACGGATTACCCATTGCGGTTTAACCTTCCTCTTCAATCACTGGGGCGGTGCGGTATAGTGGTTAAAGCGTTATTCGTCACGCCAAGACGTTATTGCGAGGTTATGACTGTCAAAACATTTACAGTGGTGAGGAGTTGAATTGCTACCTTAAGATCTGTTCTTCACCTGACAGCAGAGATCTGATACCTGTACTTGCAGTTTACGATGGGTTTTTTTGAGTGAGTGAGGTTAGTTTTACGCCCCAATTAGCAATATTCCAGCAATATCACACCAGAAAGGGGCTTCACATATTGTACCCATGAGGGGAATCGAACCTGGGTCTTCGGCATTGCAAGTGAATGCTTTAACCACTAGGCTACCCCACCTCCCCAATGTTTTATTTGACCTTATCACCACCTCTACTCAGTACATATCTAAATGATAAAAGGCTTAAACTGATGATTACATCATTTTTTATTTTACAAAGGGCATATGCTACCGGAAAATACACTGTTAGCGAATTATTGACTGTACCTGATGTGAACTAGCCATGAATCGTATCCAGCCATCATCCACTGATAGGATAAAAGAACCCTTGCTGAGCTCCACGGAGAGGGCACCACCCCCAAACAGCAACAGCGGATACACCGACACCATCGTGCAGTCCCGGATATACACCTGCATCATCAACAACAATCACTTCACCACACAATGTTTTCACAGTATCAGGGAAATTCTATATCAATGGATACTAATAAAACTACAATTGAACCAACGTGAATATCATAGTAAATAACATCTTGACTTATTAATTACTAAGTGATGTGTTACCAACCTTTGAAGTTTTCACTTTTTCATGATACACCAGATATGGGCTGTCGTAGTGACGTACTTGGAAGTTGACAGATGAAGGATGAACTGATACCTACCAAAAAAGAGATCATGAAAATCAGTATTAAAAGTAAATATATTTTTACACATGTTCTTTGTGTTCACCATCTTCTTCTTTATCATCATCATCATCATCATCATCATCATCATCATCAGAAACTGAATATACTGACTATGATCAGCTCAGTTTCTCAGACCAAAGTAAATATAAACCCAGACTTGGTGCTAATGGCTCATACAGGTACAAAGTGTGAGTATTATAGAATTTTTTTTATCAATATCTACAAACATAATCAGACAGCAATAAAAGTAACTTACATAGCCATCCATTTTGGTCTTGAACTTCATCTCCTCTGGTTTGGGGGCTTTCACAACAGCTCCTGGTCAATAAATCACACACTCATAAACTTGATGACAATGATGGACATTTTATGAGAGCCTCCAGTAGAGCTGATGTCACACTCAGGCACAAAAGACCACAGGCAATTTAATTCAGATAAACTTGGGCTCTTAGTTGGGAAACACACAGAAAGTCATAATATATCACTGAGTGAGAATGGTTGTACATTTTAGCAATATCCCAGAAATATCACTGCAGATAAACCAGAGCTTCACAATTGGTCACTGACAGATGTGTGATGTCACTGTAATCTGAAGGAACCACACAGGCTGCTTAGAAAGAAATACATGTATACGCAAACAGCAACAGTGTAATGGTGAACATCAGATTATATCTGAATAGGGGCTCATTCAAACAATAAAACTGTACAATAGATACTTGTCTGTAAATCAGTGTATTCAAATCATCAATCTATACAGTGTTATGTTTTTTTTCCAACCTAACCAGAGAATTTGCAAAGAAACAATAATCATTCAAGTGCCACTAGACAAAGACAGATTTGGAAGTTAAAAACACAGCTTGAAGTGTAAAACATAACTTAAGAGTGATTCTGTGGACGATGTCATACCTCCACTGCTCTGACTGTACCGGGTCTCAGGGACGAGGATCTGGACGACATTTGGGTACAAGGCGCCAACTAGCACTGCTGACACAAGTTTCCAGTTCTTAGAGTTAACATTGGCCTGTAACACAAGCAAATATCAAGACAGTTCCTTGGTTTGGTCCTGAGTGAGTGGGTATTGTTTTACGCCACTTTTAGCAAAATTCCAGCAATGTCATGACACGGGACGCCTGGAATGGGCTTCAGCTCAGGTCGGAGCTAACTTTTCATGTCTTTTAGTCTAACCCCCTTCTTCACAAACACTACCAGACCATTTGACACACTCACCTCCTGTCCTGTAGCCTCCAACACTCCATCCCTCCCTCCTGTCCGGGATGCCCTCTCCACATCCCTCAGTGTCACTCCCTCCTTCACAAACACTACCTCACCATCTGACACACTCACCTCCTGTCCTGTGGCCTCCTCCCCCTCCTCCTGTCCTGATGCCCTCTCCAGCCTCAGTGTCACTCCCTCCTTCCAAACACTCCAGACCATCTGACACTCTCCCTCCTGCCTGTGGCTCTCCAGCACTCCCTCCCCGTCCTGTCACCCCTCTCCACGCCCCTCTTCACACAAACACTACCTCACCATCTGACACACCTCACCTCCCTGTCCTGTGGCCTCCAACACTCCATCCACTCCCTCCTGTCCTGTAGATGCCCCGTCCGGGATGCCCTCTCCACGACCCTCAGTGTCACCCCCTCCTTCACAAACACTACCTCACCATCTGACACACTCACCTCCTGTCCTGTGGCCTCCAACACTCCATCCCTCCCTCCCGTCCGAGATGCCTCCTCCCTGTGGCCTCCAACACTCCTCCCTCCCTCCTGTGTCTCTCCACGCCCCTCAGTGTCACCCCTCCTTCACAAACACTACCTCACCATCTGACACACTCACCTCCTGTCCTGTGGCCTCCAACACTCCATCCCTCCCTCCCGTGTCCGGATGCCCTCTCCACGACCCTCAGTGTCACCCCCTCCTTCACAAACACTACCTCACCATCTGACACACTCACCTCCTCCCGTCCTGTGGCCTCCAACACTCCATCCCTCACCTCACCTCCTGTCCTGTGGCTCCCAACACTCCGGGGGATGCCCTCTCCACATCCCTCAGTGTCACCCCTCCTTCACAAACACTACCTCACCATCTGACACACTCACCTCCTCCTGTGGCCTCCACCTCCATCTCTACTGTCCGGCCTCCAACACTCCATCTCCTTCACAAACACTACTCCCATCTGGGATGCCTCCTCTCCTCCAACGTCCATCTCAGTCCGTCACCCTCCTTCTCAGTGTCACCCAACAAACCCAATATCGGACAACAGCTCCACAAACTGCTGCTTCAAACTGCACAGCATCTTCAAACAGATTTTCACAAAGACTTCACATGTATCTGACAATGGTCATAGAAAATAGTGCAACCTTCATCATAGATGCAGCAAGAACAAGACAAACTACATTCATACTGTCATAATATGGTTAACAAAGTAAATTCACACTATCACAATATGGTTATTTTATTTCATCAATTCCTGTCCAGAGGCACCCCCAACTCCAGCTCTATTGAGAACACTTTAACTGCTTCTTGCTGCAACACCAACTTGATTGGATTGAGAGCAGTTTGTCTTAGATCAGATCCTTGACAGACACGTGTTGAGTTTCAAAATAACACCTCATGTTTCATACTGTGTATCAAACTTTTGTATCACATCATGTCTTTTATCGCGTGTCAAATTGTGCATCACATCTTGTTTCACATCTAATTTCATATCATGTTTCATATTATGTATCATGTGTCATATCATCAATCACATTTTTATCATACCATGTTTATATCATGTATCATGAAACAAAACACAATCAACAGATAACTTTAGCCCTACTCTGACTTCGGTGTCCTCCCATTAGTCATACGTCCCACTAGTCATACGGGTTAAAACAACATATGGTATGGTTGACTGCACCAACAACTACCTTTGTTTCGACGATTCAAAGCTAAAACATTGTCTGAATAGGTGTGTTTTAAGTTTTTGTTTTTTGGAATGAATCCCTTGATTTTGCAATTTTCAGTTGTGGTGTATTATGTTCATATAACTTCAATGTAATAACATTGTAATTACTTTAATAACATTCATTTATATGTTTTCATTTCCACAGACTGTGGCATTCTCAGTGTTAGAGATTAAACTAACCTCAAGCTCTCAAGCGGGCTAGTCCATTTTGCGCAAAGGGTATATGCCTGTTGTTGTTTTAATTAATCCCTCATTTACTGTATGACTACTGGGGGTATGACTACTGGGGGTATGACTAGTGGGGGTATGACTAGTGTGGGTATGACTAATGGGGGTATGATTAGTGTGGGTATGACTAGTGTGGGTATGACTAATGGGGGTATGACTAGTGGGCGTATGACTAATGGGGGTATGATTAGTGTGGGTATGACTAATGTGGGTATGACTAGTGGGCGAATGACTAATGGGGGTATGGCTAGTGGGTGTATGACTAGTGGGTGTATGACTAGTGGGTGTATGACTAGTGGGTGTATGACTAGTGGGGGTATGACTAGTGGGTGTATGACTATTGGGGGTATGACTAGTGGGGGTATGACTAATGGGACATGACCCTGACTTCATCAAACAATACAGGGAGATGTTAACTTACCTGCAGTGATTTCATGGACAGGAAGTTCTCCCGACAGAAGACATACTGGGCATGTGAACCTCTTTCCTTTGCATCGATCCAGCCCTGTAAAGAAGAAATATCATATTCCAGCTGCCTTAGGAAAAACAAATGAAACACAATGGCCTTTGCACAATACATAGGATTCATAAACTGAGGTTTTAGTAGAAGACAAAATATGAGTGGGATTATGGTTTATCAGAACAGAACAACAGAAAACAGATCTGCTGTTTGGTTTCCGCAGCACAAAAAGAACTGGATCAGTTATTGTTGCATATTTTTCTCTTGAAGCAAGATTCAACACTTCCTGAAACATCCCCATGGGGAGAGTAATGCCCATAAACCATATACACTACACAACTCACCATGTAAGCATTCAACATGGTCAAGTGGTCAGAATTGCCCACAGCGAAGTCCAGCTTCTTTTTGTCGGCTTCATCCCTCTTGTCAAATGGAGAAACCTAAAACAACAGCGCGCCAGTTGTACAGATTCATACTTTCATTTCAACAGTCAATAGCAATCAGCATTTCCTTTAGAAATGAATATATATATATATAAAGAGCTCACACCTTTTTTGCAATATTCCAGCAATATCACAGCACCATACACGAGACACTGGGCTTCAGACATTTAACCAAGGGTGGAAAAAACCCATTGCCCGACACCCGAGTCCAGTGTTTTTTCCAGTCGGGCAAGCAAATTTGTATATCACGCTGTACCAATGTCCAGTTGACTTTCCAATGTTAATTATGTTGTTTATTTAAACAATCAACAAGAAAATCGGCCGGTATAGAGGAAAAATTATCAGGGCAAGTGATTTTACATGTGCCACTGTACCGGTGTACACTAGCAATTTTAAAGTTATTTCCACCCCTGTTAACATTGATATGTTAGACTGACTCAATATATTGGCTGCATCGACCGATCTATGTTTTATCCCTGAAATGAAATCAGTCAGCTAAGTAAATTACTGACCATAGATAAGCCAAATTTTACGCATCATACAACATTCACTACCCCTTGATGTGATTTATGCTTCATGGTATAGCCTAACACCTGTGCATTTATCATCATTCACTTGATGCTTAGATAATACTTGTAACTAGAGGTAACACTGCTCAGTTCCTTAGATTACCTGTCAGCCGTCTTGACATAGCATATCCCTATGTCTGATCCAGCTGTTATCATAATAGCCTCAGATATATAAACAGTCAATGCATTACTTACAAATGGTGACTTGGAGCTGAGTGTTGCAGCTATAGTGAGAGCAGCATCCAGACAACGGAAGATGGCACCAAACAGCATCAGCTTCCCGATTCTGTCAGCACAACACAGAGTGAGTGACAATGCCAAGAAACTGTTTCATTTCAATATGGTGTATACAGGTTGAAACACCTAAGTATGCCAGGTAACAGACGTCCATCACTTTAGTGACACCACAAGCATTGGTAAGGAGTTGACAAAACAAGATACTAATCCCTACAACTTTAAACATTCAAACCCATTCAGCAGATCTGGCATTGGCAAAGGCCACAACACTACACAACAAATTTAATCATAGAAGATGATTGCACCAACCATGCCTCCCACAGATTACTGGTATAACCCCTAACATTAGGATCAAGGAAGCTGAGATATGTTCCATAGGAAGTTGCAGCACATACAAAATCGTTCCCAAATATATACTGCATTCATATGCACTCACTACAGGGTAAAACACTGTTTATTAGGTATCCATGTAAATACTGCAAAATTACACATGGTTGGTTTGTTATAATATTCCAGCTACATGAAACCAGCTCTTAAATAATTCCACAGATCAATACTTTGAGCTACATTCCACACAATGACACACCATCAACCAAGAAACTGACTATATGCCGTAACCGCCCAATCCATTTGGGCACCTCTTATGATCAGCACAAGTTGCTTGGGCCCTGTTCTAATCAAGAACATCCATGACATCACCCAAGGTTAAGATGATATTAACAGATACTATTTCCCTGTCGCTGCATACACACAAAACACAGGGACTAAGTGACTTACCGAACATCAACTGGCAATGATCCGACATGGTAGCCTAGAGGAGTAAGGTCCTTGAAAATAGATTTTATATTGTCAGTTTGTGATCAAACAAATGCAATTGCAAGTTAATTCCAAGCAAATGCTTTCTACATATGAACAAGTTGTAAGGAAAGTCTGAGTTCAAGTGTAAATTATCAGTATTCAGTTTATGGTGAAAATGGATTCAATGTTTCAACAGACTAACAGTATCATGTACAAAGGTCATTATTAATGGAACATGAATTGGAAGACCTGACTGCTGAGTACAATCACACTTTTTTCGATCCCGACCAGCATACCTAAAAGTTATGGTCTTATTTCAAAGTCATTCCATTACTCAATGATGACGATATGCTACTGAATGTTCATTTTAGTCCACAATCGTTACACTCAGATAAAACCAAAATGTCTATGAGCATGCCATAATGATTTCATTGTTTGAGGGTGAATTAATCAGTTGGACTGACACTCAAGATTATCGAAACACTTTGAAGACAAAACTGAGCACAATCAACTTCACTGGAAAAGAGTGAACAAGAGTGTTCCTGTTACCTGTAGGTCATCGAGTGCACCAAGATCTTGCAGTCTTTTGATAGCATTGAGGATGGCATCCTCCTTAGGAGGTTCTAGCAGGCTCTCGAGCACCTCCTACATAGATAGAACAGTGACTCCTCATATCATTTCACGAATACGTATATATTGCCTCATTTAGACATTTGAAGACGAAATGATTAAAGGGATCTGTTTTAGCAAATAGTACTGTGTCAAATATGAATGACTAACATCATCATTTCTATTTTAACGATTTTCTGTCGTCCTGATTTGTTTTAATTACATGATCATGAAAATGTAACACAATGTTACCTGTATTCCATGTTTTTTAAATAAGGGAAGCATCTTGATCCTCAGGACAATCTGTTCAAGAGGTGCCCGCTGTATCTCTGAAAAGACATGCTTGGACAGTGAGACTCTAAAGTCAGTTGTCTTTAAACTTGTAAATCTTTCTCTACCCATCCTATCTGTACCAATCCTCACCCCATCCCTACCCACACTATCTCTACCCATCCTATCTCCATCCCTACCCACCCTATCGCATCCCTACCCACCCACATCTCTAACCATCCATTCCTATCCCTACCCACCCTCTCTCTAACCACCTTATCCCATCCCTACCCACCCTATCTCTAACCATCCATTCCTATCCCTACCCACCCTATATCTAAGCCTGCCTATCCCATCCCTACTCAATTCCTATCCCAACCATCAATTCCTATCCCTACCCACCCTATCTCTAACCATCCTATCCCATCCCTAACCCAATCTATCAACAAATCATATCTAATCCCTACCCACCCTATCTCTAACAATCATATCTCATACCTACTCCACCCTATCTCTAACCATCCTATCCCATTCCTACCCACTCTATCTCTAACCATCCTATCCCATCCCTACCCACCTATCTCTAACCATCCATTCCTATCCCTACCCACCCTATCCTAATCACCCTATCCCATCCCTACCCACCCTATCTCTAATCATCCTATCCCATCCCTACCCATCCTATCTCTAACAATCATATCTCATCCCTACCCACCCTATCTCTCACAATCATATCTCATCCCTACCCACCCTATCTCTAATCACCCTATCCCATCCCTACCCCACCCTCTATCTCTAACCATCCCTATCCCATCCCTACCCACCCTATCTCTAATCACCCTATCCCATCCCTACCCACCCTATCTCTAATCATCCTATCCCATCCCTACCCACCCTATCTCTAACCATCCTATCCCATCCCTACCCACCCTATCTCTCTAACCATCCTATCCCATCCCTACCCACTCTGTCTCTAACCATCCTATCCCATCCCTACCCACCCTATCTCTAACCATCCTATCCCATCCCTACCCACCCATCTCTCTAACCATCCTATCCCATCCCTACCCACCATCTCTCTAACCATCCTATCCCATCCCTACCCACCCATCTCTAACCATCCTATCCCATCCCTACCCACCATCTCTAACCATCCTATCCCATCCCTACCCACCCTATCTCTAACCATCATATCTCCATCCATATCCATCCTATATTGTACACATATTCTAATATTGCCCATAACCATACCTGCATACACTGCGCCAGTATCGAAAGTCAAACCTGGGTCATCTACACGATGAGCAAACTACCAGGCTAGAGGAAGTTCTTCAGATAAGTCTACTAGGACTTGCAAGGTAAATCAGGTACAATATCACTACCACTTAACAAGCCTTATTTATTACCTGATCAGGTCCATACACATACATACAGGTACTCAATTTACTATTACCATCATACAACCCTCACTCACTTATCAGGTACAGATAGATATAGGTACATACAGGAGGATAATGTACTCTCATCAACTGACATGCAAATACACAATTCACAATAACATTACACAGAGCCCAGTCACTTAACAGGTACCTACAGATAGATACAGGTATAACAGGTACATACAGGTACACAATGTACCATCACTAACTGACCAGGTACATACAAGTACATACAGGTACACAATGTACCATCACTAATTGACCAGGTACATACAGGTACACAATGTACTGTCACTAACTGACCAGGTACATCCAATTACATACAATTACATACAGGTACACAGTACACATTGTACTCTCACTAACAGACCAGGTACATACAGGTACATAATGTACCATCACTAATTGACCAGGTACATACAGGTACATAATGTACCATCACTAATTGACCAGGTACGTACAGGTACACAATGTACTGTCACTAACTGACCAGGTACATCCAATTACATACAATTACATAGTGATACAATTACATACAAGTACATAATGTACCATCACTAACTGACCAGGTACATACAGGAACACATTGTCCTCTCACTAACAGACCAGGTGCATACAGGTACATACAGGTAGACAATGTACTCTTACTAACTGACCAGGTATGGGTTGAGGGCGGAGGTGATGTTCAAATCTGTGTTGTGTGAAGAGATGGAAGCAGACACCCGATGCCACACGACCTGCTCGACCTTTCCTCTGTAGGGCGTTGGCACGAGACACCCACACCATCTCCAAACTCTCCATCCCCTTGCAGGAGTCATACCTGTACAGACAACATTGCAGTATTGTTGATGACCTCTTAGAATCATCAGCATTAACCCAATACTATCAACAATAATAGCCACAAATTTCATGCATAAATAAGTTTAATATGCATTATGTGACAATACCTCACTCCTTATATACTGAACATCACTGAAAACGCACCAGTCTAAAATTGTCCATATTTTCATCAAGATGGATTTCAGCATGACAATGATCAATGAATATAACTAACATGAAGTCGAAGGGCATGTCCAGTTGAAAAAATGCTTTAGAAACAAATTCCTGTCCACAGTATGACTCTTAATTCCAAAATGCATCAACATGCAGCCACGCCATGAAAAAAGCCCAAATTTCATTCTGAACTCATACTGACTGTGACATTAAAAGCAGGTGTATGAGAACCGATTCTCATTGTGAAACGAGGACAGAGATGCCGAGGTTAACACCTCACGAAAGGGGCGTGCACTAGGCATGATTCAGGTTGGCACCAGCAGCAGGGATATTGCACGACAACTTGGACTTGGCCACTCCACCATCATTAGGCTTCATAGACGACATCAGTAGACAGGCAGCACCCGTGACCTTCAATTACCTTGGCAACAACGTGTTATGATGCTCCATCAGGATCGCCATATTGACCATGTCCATATCAGTGATTGAACACTGCCGACTGCCAGGACTGCTGCACTAGTTCAAGGTTCACGTGGGGTCATCAGCACCGACTCCATGCGACGCCGTCTACACACTACAGGGCTCCATGCTCAACGTCCTTACGTTGGACCAATTCTGACTGACAGACACCGTAATGAGCGTATACAATGGGCTAGCAGGCATTTTCAGTAAAGGTTACAACAATGGCATGGTGTGGTAGTCACTGACGAGTCACGTCTTCATCTACATAATGCTGACGGCAGATTACGTGTTTGGCGTAGACGTGGTGAACGTTATGCTGATGAGTGTGTGGTTCAGACAGACCTTTGGGTGGTGGGAGTGTCATGGTCTGGGGTGGAATAAATTACAATCACAGGACTGCCTTCATGTCTGTCAAGGGAGAGTTAATGCCCTTTATTACTGTGAGCAGATACTTCAGAATAACATCATATCCGTCTTCAATCACCACCAAGATGTCCATACTCTTCAACAGGACAACGCACGGGCACACACAACAAGACTTTCCTTGCAGTATTATCACGCTTATTGACTCAATGAGGACACGTTGAACTGCATGTGTCAATGCAAATGGCGGTCACACGCGATATTGACTTTTCGATTTGACCCACGTGTGTTTGATCCTTTGTGACTGTGGAACATTTCAATGAATGAGTGTCTTTTCTGTGTTGTTGTTTTTTGTCAGTCGTTCATCTGTTATTATCCACTCCAAAAATATCAATTCCTTACACGTGCTTTTAATAATCTGAACTTTTATAAGTGGTGCATTTTCAATGATGTTCAGTATATTTACAATGCCATACACTGAAAACTATTATTGTCTGTGAAATGAAACATGAGGTCATTGGAGTGTGTGAGTGAGTGAGTGAGTATGGTTTTATGCCGCTTTTAGTAATATCAAGGCGGGGGACACCACAAATGGGCTTCACACATTGTACCCATGTCTGCAAACGCTGATGATGTGCAAACGCTGATGACGTGCAAACGCTTTAACCACTAGGCTATCCCGCTGCCCCTTTAGGTCATTGGGGTTGTTTTATGCCGCACTAAGCAATATTCCAGCTATATGTTGGCGGTCTGTAAATAATCAGTCTGGACCAGACAATCCAGTGATGAACATAATGAGCACCGATCTATGCAACTGGGAACCGATGACATGTGTCAACCAAGTCAGCGAGCCTGACCACCCGATCCCGTTAGTCGCCTCTTAAGACAAGCATGCGTTGCTGAAGATCAATATTTTAATTCTAACCCAAATCTTCACGGGTACTGCTACTAAGGGTAGGTTCACCAAACTGCAAACCCTGGAGATACAGAGGATGGGATTTTATTATAACACATTCTGTACTTGCCTCTTCTCCTTCATCCTCCCTGCATCAATGACATACACAACATCATCGATAGTGATGGATGTCTCCGCTATGTTGGTGGATATCACAATTTTAGTGACACCTTCTCGGGGTCGACTGAAACAGTAACATACTGAGTCTCACAATTTACAGTCTTAATAGATCACTTTACCTACATGAATCACATGAGAACAGTGCAGAAAGACCATGGAGTACAACCAAGTCAGTTGAGTGACTTGAACCCAAGGGATACTGTCAGAGGTCAGCACTCTGCTCATTATGTTCCAACAATGATCCCAATAGTATCATACAAAGCAAAGTATCAGAACTTTTCAATAATATGTCTACACTTGAAATCTGTTCTTTAGCTATTACTTACACTGAAAAACATAAATTCTATCTCAAGAATAATATTCATGAAGGGTTTCAGATATCATACTCACGAAAACACAGCATGCTGATCCTCACTGGATAAAGATGAATGAAGAGGCACTATCTTGTATCTGAACAAAGGAGGTGTGAGAACTCATTTATACTATGCTTTCAAAAGCTCCAAGAAATTGCAATGATAAAATAATGGAGATAATTGCCTAATTATCTCATTAAAAGTGTTATTGGCCTTAAATATATCACATATCTGTGTTCCCACTAGCTCCCCCACTTCCTGTTCACACACACTGCCCCACTTCCTGTTCCCACACACTTCCCCTTGTCCATGCTCACACTCACCTGCCCCTATTCCTGCTCCCAAACTCTTTGCTTGTCATCAGCATGTCATACAAAGTCTGTATCTCAGCAAAACCAGGCAAGAAGATTAAAACAGCTCCATCTTTGCGATACTGAAAGTAAAGTTTACAACACAAGCATTGAAAACAGGACAAATTTTGTCCAATAACCTCTCATTGACAATTCTCAACATCTTTGCAACAACAGGAAGGTATTTCAATGTCCATATTACCACTGGAGTTCATATATTTTTTAAAGCAATGGATGATTGAGTAAGGAGTTTGGTTTTACATCGCTTTTAGCAATATTCCAGCAATATCACAACATGGGACACCAGAAATGGGCTTCACACATTGTGCCCATGTGGGCACACGAGTCTTCGGGATGACGTGCAAACGCTTTAGCGTCTTCAAACCCGCGTCTTCAGCGTGACAAGTAAACACTTTAAACACTAGGTTACCCCACCGCCCCTTTAAAGCAATGGATGCTGCAAACCTGTATATGTCTGTTGTACTGTATCTACTGTATGAGCTGTGTAATAACACAATACTATATGAACATATAGTTCCTATCTTCAGTGATCAGTTATGATTCATTCTACAATCACCGTCAATACATTACAATATCACTATGATATGTTTTGTTTATGGTTACAAATTTTCAAGCAGCATTAACCTATCTCAGTGAGTTTCAAGTGGCTTACCTCATGTTTCCCATCCACAATCCACTCCAGTATAGCTACAATGAGGTCATAGTTGATCTTCTCCATGTCCATAATAGCCATAGCTTTGATAGTGGACTTGCGGTATTCTAGAACAAATTGATGAGAAAACAAAGTGAATGTTGAGTTACACTGCAGTCAGCCTGACCATCCAAACCATTAAGTGAGTAAATCAGTGAGTTTCAGTTTTATGCCGCTTTTAGCAATATTCCAGAATATCACAGCAGGGAACACCAGAAATGGGCTTTACACATTGTAGCCATGTGAGGAATCAAACCCAGGTCTTTGGCGTGACGAGCGAACGCTTCCACCAATAGGTGCCGAATCATTAAGTCATTTCTTACAATCTATCAGTTTTACAATCCACAGGACTTGGAATCCCCATGGATTCTATTACCACAACTTTTCACAACTATTCAGATTCATACCACTATATCTGTAGAAGAGATGCTTGACTGAGAGGTTGTAAATATGTTTATTCAGATTCATACCACTATATCTGTAGAAGAGATGCTTGACTGAGAGGTTGTAAATATGTTTATTCAGATTCGTACCACTGTATCTGTAGAAGAGATTGCTTGACTGAGAGGTTGTAAATATGTTTATTCATCCAGATTCGAGTTGTGATTGAGAGGTTGTACTGTATCTGTAGAAGAGTTGCTTGACTGAAAGGTTGTAAATATGTTTATTCAGATTCGTACCACTGTATCTGTAGAAGAGTTGCTTGACTGAAAGGTTGTAAATATGTTTATTCAGATTAGTACCACTGTATCTGTAGAAGAGTTGCTTGACTGAAAGGTTGTAAATATGTTTATTCAGATTCGTACCACTGTATCTTTAGAAGAGTTGCTTGACTGAGAGGTTGTAAATATGTTTATTCAGATTCGTACCACTGTATCTGTAGAAGAGATGCTTGACTGAGAGGTTGTAAATATGTTTATTCAGATTCATACCACTGTATCTGTAGAAGAGATGCTTGACTGAGAGGTTGTAAATATGTTTATTCAGATTCGTACCACTGTATCTGTAGAAGAGTTGCTTGACTGAGAGGTTATCATCTCTGATGTTGTCCTTGGCTGGCTCCACCATCACAGTGTTTCCGATCTCCTCCAGTTCATCATGAATGTCATCTACCGATATACGACCTTGACCTCTACCTGGCTGGGCACGCATGGCATTGCTTCGCTTGATTGGACGGGCAAAGGCAGAATTCTCTTCCATAACGAACCTGCAATTGTAATCCTAATCGTCATGCATTGATTCAAGGCAATAGATGTAACTGCTTCATTTCACATGACAATAATCCTCAATTGAGTGGTGCAATAACACAGGTCAGAAACTGACCACAATCTTCTTAAATTATATGACAGCCCCCTAAAAATAATCATGTTGGGACCAGACAATCCAGTTATTGATAAATCATATTCTGATCAGTTTTTCCCACCACTGACAAACAAAAGCATGCAATCAACCTGATAACTGGGTCAAGTATTACTTCTTTCAATGATGATGGACAAGAAATAACAACTTGCATTAACCCCAAACCATGACAATAACTTTTTCGTAAAGTTTACATCTCATTGATGAAAATAAGCAGTATCTGCCATGACAATGAATGAAGTGCCTCTACTTACCGGTATATTCAATGGCATCTTCCAAGAAGAACTGGTCAACTGGGAAGGTTCTCCCTGACAACAAATAGACATGTGTTTAACACATGTTAAAGTCCAGGGCCTAGATTTTCAAAGCTCTCTCAGCGCTAAGATCGTCGTAAGTTAATGTAACTGTATGGCAGTTACAACTATCTTAACGCTAAGAGACCTTCGAATATCTAGGCCCAGGCTTCCGCAAGCAGCTGCATGTTGAGGAAGTGAAGCAAGACACAACAATAACAAAGTAAACAACGTTATGTATAACAACTTCTTGTTTCTTGCGAAGACCGACAATTCAATGTAGATTTCACTTTAGATATAACTTTGAGGTAGAAATCAGTGAAAGATTCTTCATTGCTCTAAGTAATAAACAAAAACCTGTTTTCCATTACCAACTGTATGCTTTGTTGGTTACTCTCTTGAATGCCGAACAAAGCAGAAACGACAGGTTCATCAACTTTTGAAGCTATTTCTCAGAATACATGACAGGGTAGTCCTGCATAATTTTCCAGGTGAATGATCAAGGCTCAACATAAAGTAGGGCTGGATATTGCCCTGATTCTCATATTACGATATATTGCAATAATTCAAGAGATATTGCAATATATATTGTGATATATTGACTGGAAGGTTTCTGTCCAAGTGGGTACATCATAAATTCATAATAGCTCTCTGTATGCTACATTGTCTTCTTAGTTGCGGTTACTGTGATTGAAAAAGAGAAGCAAACATTATCTTGGGTAATGATGGTAAAAGAATCGTTTGCATTAGGACATATGTTTTCATGGAAAGACTTTTCATATTAAAATATCCTGTATGTAATCTTTTAACTGGTTAACCTACCAGGAATCTCCAGGACTGGGCACTCCTTGAAGTAGTGAGAAAACAGATCAGCATTCAAGGTCGCACTCATCAGTATAACTTTGAGGTCAGGTCGGACTCGCAAGAGGTTACGCAATATCATTATTAGAAAGTCACTGAAATGACATTGAAAAATGTAATTTATTAAGTAAACTTGATATTTTATACTTATCCTGATTCATGATCTTTGCTTATCTCCCTTTTCCATGCGAATGGTAGTGGAACACTTGAATCCTTTGTAGTTCCCTGAAGCGGACGTAAAAATACACTCACCCACGAGTTACCTCCCTTTTCCCGCGCAAACAGTCATGTGACCAGCCTTACTTGTCACTCTCTCCTGATTTTCTGCCCATGCACCTGGATCTACTGTGAAATCCGAAGTGTTTCCAGCGGGGAGGTTGGGAGGGCTTCTCCTCATGAGTCAGGATAAATATAAAATATCAATTTTACTTTAAAAATTACATATTTTTCCTTATCCTGACTCATGATCTTTGCTTATAGAATCCTACGGATTGGTGGTGGGTCAAGCCACTTCCTGGATTCAACAGCTGTCCATAGATACGTCCTGTATCCCCCCACACACACACACACACCATGGGAACTGCGTAACGGCATTTCCTAGATCCTATTCTTCCAACTTCCGTTATAACTCGGGGGGACCACAATCTTGTCTTACTTCTCTCTCAGACAAGTGAATCTTTTAGATTCATGTGGCTTAAGATATACTAGTATCTTCTTTTTACTAGTTATCTATAACAACCCATAGATTATGATAAGATCTTTATCATAAATGAGTTGTGACCCCCTTTACGTACAGGTAAGATCTTTACCCGTACAGAGTCTTAATCACTCATGCTAGCCTAGTCTAGACTGTCTAGTCTAGAGTTGTTGTGCTACAACAAGAGGCCCAAACTGGTGAATGCCTGAGACGTCTTCGTTGGCTATGTATCGGAGGTAGTGGTTGGCAAACACCATATCTGACTTCCAGAAGCAGCCCTCCATAATTGATGATATAGAGCAATTTCCATGCAGAGCGAGTGTTGACGCCAGTGCGCTGACTTCGTGTGGGTTGGAAGCTCTTGGAGGTTCTAATCCTGCTGCTTTGTAGGCTCTTATAGTAACGGCTCTCATCCAAAACAATATGTTCGTTCTTGAGACCTCCACTGATGTCTCCATTGACAAGGGGATGAATAGGCGCTTGAATTTTCTTCTCCTTGTTTTAGTCTTTTGAAGATATATGTTCGAGGCTCTGACAGGACACAAGGATATGTCATGGGTGTCCTCTGATCCGAGGATCGTAGATAGCGCTGGCACATGGAACTGTCTATCTGGTTGACCAGGTAGTTGATTCTTTGCAATAAAGTCCCATCTAAGTCCTAGATGTACTGCAGCACGGTGCCCCGTGTCGAATCTAGTTCGTCCAAAGTCTAGCGCATGTATCTCAAACATTCGAGCTCTCGTGGCTAGGGCAAGTAGGAACAGAGTTTTCTGTGTGAGTAGCTCAAACGTAGTCTGTTGTAGAGGTTTGTAGGCATCGCTCATGAGATGTCGTAGAATTACATTCAGATCCCAGGCTGGTGCTCTGAATTTCTTTTGCTGGTCCTCCAGTTTAAAAGATCACAGCAGAGCAAGTAATTATGGTACTTTCGTCAATTTGATGCCTGACTTCATAGTGACGACTGTACTGATGGCTGCCAGATATGTGGATAATGTCGAACCTTTCAGAAGCTTTCATAGCTGTGAAGCCTCTCCGCCTTGCATATTGTTCAAATTTCTGCCATTTGTTGTCATACAAATTGCGAGTAGCTCTGCGTAACGCTAAGATTACTGCTTTTGCTGCTCTGGCAGAGTATCCTCTTTTCTTCAGACAGGTTTTGATATGGTCCACACGTGTAGCTGGAACAATGTTGGGTTCCTGTGGACTTCCTTGGTGTGCGGATGTCTGAGTAGGTTTGGCCATTCTGGTAGTTTGAGGATTGGACTTCCGAGATCTTCTATTAGGTCTAGGAACCAGACTCTTGCTGGCCAATAGGGCGCGACCAATGTCAGTTGTAGCGTTTGTGTCTGTTTGATCTTCAACAGTACTTTCGGTAGTAAGATCGGAGGTGGAAATGCGTATGCATTTAGTCCTTCCCATGATATACTCAGTGCATCTGTTGCCCAGGCTTGGGGGTCTGGTACTGGTGAGACAAACGTCTGTAGTTGTTTGTTGAACCTCGTGGCGAACAGGTCTATGCATGGGGATCCTATTTTCCTTATAATGAGCCGGAACGCTTCTGGATGGAGCATCCATTCCGTGGATGACGGGTGTAGTGGTCCGGAAATAGCGTCTGCTAGTACGTTCTTGGCTCCCGGTATGTGACACGCCTTTATCCAGATGTTTGCATCCTCTGTGATGTTGAACAACTGGAATGTGAGCTGCAGTAGGCTTGGTGATCTTGTTGATCCTTGCCGATTTATGGCAAATGCCACTTTAGAGTTGTCCGTGTGGACCATCAGCATTCTGTTGCTCAGCGAACTCAATCATAGTTGTACGGCGTTGATCACAGCTTTCATTTCCAGCAGATTGATGTGAAGATGCTGTTCTGCTTTTGACCACTTCCCTGATGCAACTTGGTTGTTGAGATGTGCACCCCATCCCTGTAGCGATGCATCTGCGTAAAGATGTGTGTCAAAGGTCGGCTCTTGTAAATAGGTCCCTCCGCAGACATTCAACCTGTGAGTCCACCAAAGTAGGTACATTTTGAGATTTTCTGGTAGCAAGATAGGGTTGACGCTGTCCAGATGTTTTGCCAGGAATCATTGCAATGGACGTAGTTGTAACCTTCCTGTGCGAGTCAAGTCTTGTGCAGAGGTTAGTAGACCGAGTAGACACCGATATGTTCTTAGTGTTAACGGAGCGATGACTGCTTGAGGAATCATGGCTTGTATCTTGACCCAACGATCTTCTGGGGTCACAATTCGATTCTGTGTTGTGATAAATCTTATCCCCAGGAATTGCAGATCTTGTTTTGGTTCCAACTCCGACTTCATCAGGTTCACTAGCCATCCTAGTTGCGTGAGCAACTTGATTATGAAGTTCAGCTGCTGTCTGAGTTGATTGGCACTTTGATGAACCTGTATGCCGTCGTCCAGGTAAAAGGCATTGCGTAGACCTCGATGATGTAGGTAGGCACTATGGGCTTGGTTATTCATGTGAATAACCACTGAGACGACGATATTCCAAACGGTAGGACGTTCCATTGGAAGTGCTGACCTCTGAATAGGAATCGTAGATATTTTCTTGATTCCGGATGTATGGGGATGTGTAGATATGCATCCTGGAGGTCTATGCTGGCCATATAATCTGCTGGACGAATTAGTAGTCTGAGTAGGGGTAGGTGGATAATTCTGAACCTTTCCAGTTTGAGTAGATAGTCTTGGTTGAATTTCCACATGTTGTAAATCAACCTGAATTTCTCTTTGGAATTCTTCTTGGGTACTAGGAAAATTGGGGAGTAGAAGCCTGGCGTGAGATGATGTTGATCTATTCTCTCTACCGCATTCTTGGTTAGAAGCAAGTTAATGGCTTCTTGTAGCTTGTCTGCTTGCTCGTCTGCATAGTTGAAGAGCATCGGTCTGAGGGTTAACGGTGGTGTGGCCTTGATCTGCACTCTGTACCCTTCTCGCAGTACTTGAGAGATGTAGTTGTCCTCCAGGATTCCCCAATTTTCCCAGTACCTTTGTAGACGTCCACCCACTGTCGATGGTTGTACAGGAATGGCTGGGAGTGGAAGCATCCAGTCGTTCCGAACCCCAATTTCAACGTCTAGCTCCTCTGAAACCTCTTAGAGTACGTCCTCTCCCTGAGTTTCCTCTGTAGTTTCCGGATGGGCGACGAAAAGAGCTTATCCCACCTCTGAAGCTGGAGTATTTCTTCTCCTTAGCCTTCTGGATACCAGAATATTTCGACTTGCTGTTGTATTTCTGTGAAGCATGATGAATGACGTTGGCTAGAGTATCTATAGACTTGATCATTATGACTTCCCTTGAGTCGTGAGTAGCTTCCTTAGCTGCTTCATCTATCTCACCTCCGAAGATGGTAGGCGCTCTAAGTAGCGGTTGGGTAAATCTGTCACTCCAGAAACACGACACAAATTACAATAATTTCTTCAAATTTTATACAAATAATACATGATAGTTATAGCCAAATACCATACACAGCGTAATTTTGATAAATAGGATCTAAATATAAAGGATATATGCCATATACGGGACTCCAGTGCTTGCCCAACCATCCGCTTAGGCGAAAAGGGAGAGAGTGACAAGTAAGGCTGGTCACATGACTGTTTGCGCGGGAAAAGGGAGGTAACTCGTGGGTGAGTGTATTTTTACGTCCGCTTCAGGGAACTACAAAGGATTCAAGTGTTCCACTACCATTCGCATGGAAAGGGAGATAGGCAAAGATCATGAGTCAGGATAAGGAAAAATAATCTTGAAATAAGAAGCTAATACCACAGCCTTGTAAGAGAAGTTAATGAGTTTTATACAAACGTAACACAGTCATTGTCTATATGGAGAATACTACACGAGGTCTCATTACATACGAATTATACGAAACAAGTGTCCTTCCTATATAGGAAGGTCACGAGTTTCGTATAATTCGTATGTAATGAGACCGAGTGTGGTATTTTATTTATTACCCACGTCTTACATACATTGAATTGACAAAATAGCGTATTTTTGTTATTGTTATGGTTTCAAACCGAAACCGGTTTCATAAAGAGGTTGCGGAAGAATTTTGTTCTGAAGTACACTTTTGCATGACGTCACACTGTATTGACGTCACTGCGCCATTCTCGTCTGTCCCCTTGGTAACCGACGTCATGATGCATGTCAGTTGTCATCGCCTCTTGTACAGCCTCCTACAGTAAACTACTCCGTAGCACCCCGTTTCTTGGTTTGCAACGTCTTCACTCGGGTAACATCACTGGTGGAAACATTGCGTTTATGTTTTTCGACGGATATAATGTCTCAGTAAGACTCACAATTAAACAGCAACACGGCAAAGTTCGCAATGTTTACATTCCCACAATGCATCTAAGTTGTAGAATGAATGAATTCACGTGTTTGTTATGAATGAACAAGTAGTTCCGTCACAACATGACCTAACTGAGAGGTCATCAGTTATCCAATCAAATCCTTAGAATCTCAGGTCAAGTCGTTACGACACAGGTCAACGCGATATGACACTCGTGTGACGTACGAGATTAGTATGCAACTACCCACTCGTTGACCACGTGGGTAATAAAGAGAAATATCACATAACGTTAAGTCACTGACAATAATGTAATATGATCATCCATAATTTGTCAAATTTCAAGTTCATATTTACACAGGTGAATACTTGTTAGAAATGATTGAAGTTACTCTAGCATTCTGACCTGTCTTCTGATCGTTCATGTACTTCATCAATAACCAGATGTGTAACGCCCTCAAGGTTAGGGTCACCTTCCAGTTGTCGAAGAATTATTCCTGTAGTGCAGAACAGCAGACGTGTCCAGGCAGACTGGAACAGAAATTGCCAACCTTATTTGCTGAAGTGAAAACGGTGTTATAATATACACTGACACATGGCTACAAATGTAACAAAAATAATCAATCATTCATGTCTTCGACCCATATAAAGCAAGATAGAAGTAAATGTGATTTCATATTGGTTGAGGTGATTTCAAATAGGTGAATCACTTGTATGTTAGTTTTCGTGCTACATGGGTAAAATATGTGATGCCATTTCTGGTGTCCTTGTGAAATTGGGTTTAACATTGCATTTAAGATTAGGCCTCAAAAAAAAATTGTTGTGGTTCCGATTACCCGACTGACCCTTGAATTCTGGTGCCGACCCTAGTCATTTTAGAGGTATGAATAAAAATAACCTTTCAGATACTATTGTTTTTTCCTGGCACCAACGGACATTGGTCATTCTGATAAAGAAAGTTGACATGATGGCCGCAAGCTTGATTGAATAAACACTTACACATCGATAAATGTGTTATTAGTTCGTACTTTACTTCTAAAAAAAAATGTAAAAAAAAAAAAGAATCTCTACCTGTATACCCTAAATTTTAAAGAGGTGTTATGGGAACCACAACATTTTTTGTTTGACCCTATTACATGTATATTTCAAGTTGCATGCATGTGCATGAATGAGTGCCTGTGGTTGTTTGTACCAGTCTGGACACATTGCTGGTTTTGTAGTGCTAATCTCTGACCATGGCAAGGTTCAACATGACTACTGCACTCACAATCAGTCAAATAACTCTGAGATGACCAGACCTTAATTCATCCCCTAAATGCCAAGCTAAACAGGGCTGAAAAGGGATATACATGACATGAGTGAGTGAGTGAGTGACCTTTAATTGATCCCCTTTAGCAATATTCCAGCCAATCATCGCTAACACCAGAAATGGGCTTCACACATTGTACCCATGTGGGGAATCGAACCCGGTCTGGCGATATACTTTGACCACTAGACCCCACGCCCATATACATGACATGACATCCACGGGATATTATATAGGGCTGCCAAACGACTATACCTGCTTGCTCTCCAGTCTGATCTGGTAGCCAACACTCCGCCCTAACTTTTCACACCGCTCGTCCGTCACCCTCTCAGCCACAGATATCGCAGAAATACGTCGTGGCTGTGTACAGATGATGTTACACATCTTCGAGTTCTTTGACCTTAGGTATTTGTCCAGAATAAACTGTGGCACTTGGGTTGTCTTTCCACAGCTATGAAACAGAATCAGTATTGCTACTATCAGCTTCCGACCAGGCTTTCAGTCTTCAGTAATTTGAAGACATATTCTAAAGCAGTATTTTAAGAACAAATCCAATTCCCCATGGGAATCAGATCCAATTCAAACAAATTCAGTTCAAACAAAACAGCATAAATTAGGCTTCAGAGTTAAGCTTTACATATACAAGTGTAAGTAGTGAACATTAAATGACTTGATATTAACACCACACCCTCATTTCAGGTACAACAAACTTGCATTATATGAGGCGATATACGGTATATTATGTTATGTTATGCAGTAGTAACTCAAATTTTAAGAGGTTTAGGAATTAGGTAGTCAAGAGATGGCTTAATGATATGTCCAGGGCCCTGTTTCACAAAGCTTCGTAGTGCTACGACTGTCTCGTAATGCTACGACTGTCGTAAGTCTATGTTACAGTATTGGAGGTAGGACAGTAGTAGTGCTACGATAGCTTTGTGAAACGGTGCCCTGGGTCCCAAACATAGAACCTGTTCCCCAAAATGTGGGTTGCAGCCATACCCTGTCATTCCACTGATGACGACAACTTGGTTGCTCTCAATGGTGTCCACAATCTCATCTTGTCTGTCCCAAGCTGGTAGTTTGCCACGCTGAGCAATCATACTCTTGTAACTACCTGATGACTATCAGTCAATGAAAATATGAACATGGTGAAAGGAGGAAATATATATATAATACATTAATATTCCAACATGGATACCATATTTATAATAGAGTACAGGTAGGCACAATTTATGGATAGCAACTTTTATCATGTATTACTATCTTGACATTGTGTGGGTTTGAATCCCGGATTGGTTTGAAACCTGGATGGGATTCACGGATTGTTTTGAACCTCAGATGGGATTTCCGGATTGGTTTGAACCTCTGTACATTACTGAAGAAGTGTACTCCCAAATATAACATATAAATTTATACAAACCTGTAGAGGTTATGAATTCTTTGAAGAAAGTCCTCCTTGGGGTACATATAAGCATTAAAATGTCCATTTTAAAAGCCTACGACAGTTGTAACAATATTTCAATAAAATATTTTACCCAACAAAAAACTCGTTAAGTCTGGTGAGACCACCCCTACAGCCAAGAGCAGGTAACTCTGGCTGTGTACCTCGTACCTCACTTTTCATGCTGAACGTGTCAGACAGAATGAGGGGAGGTGGGCGGCCGTACCCCAAGGAGGACTTTCTTCAAAGAATTCATAACCTCTACAGGTTTGTATAATTCTTTTTCAGAAGAAGTCCTCCTTGAGGTACATATAAGCATAAGACAGACTCCCAACGATGTTGAGTCGGGAGCGGTATTCTGTCTGCCTAACATACCCCCTAGTTCAGTCGAAGGCACAGCCCGAAAGCAGCGACAGAGAGAAAAGTACACTCACCTAGTCACCTGACCGCCGATGTCAATCAGGCGTAACAAAGCCGAGGAAAAGGAGCCTAGCCCGATAGGCTATTGGTGGAATTTGTAAAGGCGGGCCATAAAGTCCCACCCCGACCATCAAAATGGGAGGGAATGTATGGAGCGAGTCAATATATATCCCTCAGAAACCCAAACCAGCGGCGTGGTGCAGGGATGAAAACAGTGACTATAGCGGTGATAATCGCTATACACGGTAAAACCACCACCAATGTGATACCACCACCGATAAAAATTGAGGAATTTTATAACACCTACACCATGAGAAAAGCAAGCGTGATTTCTAAGGCTCATTCGGCTAGAGAATCCGACACTGCCCACTGGTGAGAACTGTCTGGCCAAACCGAACGCGGCTCCGTGAGTGTTTGTCCAGCTGATAATGGCGGATGAGCGTGTACTTTCGATTCGGCTCCAGATAGCCGCTGAGCAGATCTCCTCAATGGGCAGTGCCGCGGTACGTATGCCTTCGATGTAAGCCACTGCCCTGTCGAATGAGCCTTTAACCCTGGGGATAGTTAACCCTTTGTAAGGTAACTCATACAAATGGCAGAGACAAACCACCTAGATATGGTCTGCTTGTTAGCGGAGGACCAACCTTACCACCGCCATAACAACAGAACAGCTGCTTATCTTTCCTGATAGCAGCCGTCCGTTGATATAAGCCTTGAGAGTCTTACGGACATCTAAAGGCGTGAGCACGCGCCCGAAGAGAGGTACGGACGATGGAGGCTGAGTGAAAGCTGGCAGTTCAATAGGCGCCGTTACATGAAAAGCCTGCGACCTTAGGACGGTAAGAGTCTGGCAACCCGAATACTGACTCTGTCTTTGTGAAAGACAGTCAGAGCAGGATCGCTGACATCGCATGGATATAAGCCTACCGCCTACCAGGCGTTACCGCCACAAGAAAGGCAGCCTTCCAGCTTAACAGCTGGAGTGAAAGAGGCGACAGATCGTGAAAGAGAGGACCCGGACATCCAATCAAGAGCGATTGACAAGTCCCACGGGGACTAATCCGCCCGGACAGTCGGACAGATTCTGTCCGCGCCTGCTAAAAGCTGCACTAGAGGGTGCTGCCCCAAGAGAAACACCGTCGGCAGGGATATGGAAGGCAGAGATTGCCGTGGAGTAGCCCCGGATAGTAGACGCGGCTAAGCCGGCTTCTAACCGAGACTGTAAGAACTCCAGTACTTCAATTACAGTTGAAGAAAAGGGATCAAGAATCCCTCTGCCGACACACCAGCTCGTATAACAGGCCCATCTATCCTCATACTGAACGTTTGTCGAATCCCTCCGCGAAGCCAGAATTGTGTCTGCAACTGGTGCAGGAATTCCGCTCGCGTGGAGGCGATTCCGGACAGAGGCCAGGCCACCCACTGAATCCTGGGATTCGGGTGCGGCGCTCCGTTCTGGGATAGTAGGTCCGGTCGAAAGGGTAATAGTACAGGAGGCAGAGCCAGAAACCTGAGTAGTACCGGAAACCAGCTTTGAGCCGACCAAAGGGGTGCAAGGAGCACAAGAAGTCGAGCTGGTTGGGTGGCAAGCTGCGAGAGGACTTTGGGAATCAGGGGTAGTGGCGGGAGCATACAGAACCCTGTCCGTCCAATCGAGCTGGAAGCGTCCTGGGCGATGGCTCGGATCCGGTATCGAGAGCAAAACACCGGAATCTGGTTAAAGTCCCCAGAGGCAAACAGATCCACCTGGAGCGATCGAACAACTGGGAGATAGCCCGAATATCTCCCGATGGAGCATCCACTTTCGTCGCGGGGGCCAGGATCACGGCGAGAGAGTGCATCTGCTCGAACGTTGTCCGCCCCAGGGAGATAAACAGGCATTACCCGTATGTCGAACCGGTCGCACCAGAGCAGAAACTGCCACGCCTCCTGCAGAAGAGACGGGGAGACTGTACCGCCCTGCTTCAGGATATAGGTCATCGCCGTCTGGTTGTCCATCTCGAGACGGACCACACGGCCTTGAACCTGCTCGAAGTCGTTCGAACACCAACCTGACTGCTCTCAATTCTAGCACATTGATGTGCAGCTGCGCCTCGCTCTGTGACCACAGGCCTGAGACTGACAGGGCGCCCAGCACGCCCCCCCACCCTGTGAGTGAAGCGTCTGTCTGAATTGAGAGATTTGGCGATGGGATGTCCAAAGGGAGCCCCCTGGATAAATTCCCTGCCAGCGTCCACCACCGTAAATGAGGAATTAGCCACCCTGGAGTGTGGAGAATCAACTCGTAACCCCGGGTGTGGACCCACATTCGAGCTAGAGCCTGCTGAATGGGTCGCATCCTCAACCCGTGCTTTTCGCCAAGCGATGTCCACCGTTGCTGCCATGTTGCCTAGCAACTGGAGCCAAGTCCGAGCTGAGGCCCTGGGGGACTCGAGAAATTGTAACACAACTCTCTGGACTTTGGTGACGCGGTCCGGAGACAGGGAGACTATCCCTCCCACTGTCTCGAATCTCGCTCCCAAGAACACCAGATCCTGGGTGGGAACCAGTTCTGACTTCTTGAGGTTGATAATCCAACCCAACTTGGTGAGTATACTCATCACAGAAAGTGTCGCCTTTCGACTCAAGTGAGTGGCAAAGCGCCGCGAAGGAGCCAATCGTCTAGATGCGGGTGACAGCACCTGCCCTGTGACCTGGCTACCTGCGCTGGAATTAGCATGAGTTTGGTGAACACCCTTGGCTGTGGAGATGCCAAGGGAGTACCCGAGCTGATAGCACCTCCCGTCAAAGGAAAACCTTAGGTATTTCCTGAACTTCGGGGGTGCATAGGGACATGGAAGTACGCGTCTTTGAGGTCGATTGACGTGAGCCAATCTCCCTTCTCCACAGACGAAATCACCGAACGCAGTGTTTCCATCTTGCAGGACGATACCTCTAACATGTCGTTCAGACCTTTGAGGTTTAGAATAGGTCTGAACCCTCCGTCCTTTTTGGTGACAAGGAAATAAGTTGAGTAATAACCCACCATTTCTTGTCCCACAGGAACCATCTCTATGGCTGCCTTGTCCAGCAACGACTGGACCTCGGCACGGAGCACCTCCGCCTTCTCTAGGGCAGCCGGCACTGGAGTGCAACGGATCCCGGAGAAGGGGGGTGGGTTTCGCTTCCACCGTGGCATGTGGCCGTGCCATGTGGCGTGGACAGGACCCAGGGATTGGAAGTGACTTTTTCCCATTCCGACAGGAAGAGGGAAAGTCGACCACCCACAGGGATATGTGGCATGAGACATTGAATACCGGACTTCGGCAGTACTCCGACTGCTTGGTCTGGGTACCAACAAAGGAGCTCGGAGGAATTATAGCTGGGAAGCGGGGCTGACTTCCCCTTCCTCTGAAAAGGCTGGTGGGGCGCCGTGGCTGCTTGCCCTTGCCCCTGCCTCTGCCCTTACCCCTCCCAGCGACTGCAAGGGCTGAGCCCATTTAACAGATTCCTTAGCGCGCAGCAGAAGGATATCGCGAGAGAGAGAGCGGGGCGCCGCGAGAGACATGTGAGGCTGTTCCAGCAAGGGCTTAGAGTCCTTGAAGGTTGAGACAGCCTCCTCGGCCTCCGGACTACTGTAGCTGCCCGGGGAACAGGGTAGAACCCATCCCGGAATGGCAGCCCAGCAGAGCCTGTTGCGTGGCAGGCGAATACCTGCGCCCGAGGAAAGCCACAGGCGGCGGAGGCCCATCACCGCCGACATCATTTGGCAAGCCGACGACCTGATAGAATCGCGCGCCAGATGTGACTGTACCTCCGTTAATTGCTTAGCCAAGGTGGAGGGAGACGAATCTTCCTCCACCCCACCCACATCCAGTAGTTGCCTCTGCAACACCGAGATGTAGGCGGAATGGATCGTAACCTTAAGGCACTGAACCGCATTGCGGTATTGCTCTTCAAAGGAATGATAGGCGGATTTAAACGCTGTGGCGTTAGTCGTGAACGGCGGAAGCCGACGACCTTGCTTGGCCGAAGCCATAGAATTACCCGACGAACCCCCCAGGGCGACGGATGCATAAACACAATCGTCAACCACTGGGGGATTATAAAGGCAAGCCTCCCCCATGAGGTACCGACGGTCCAGTTCTGGCAAATCGAACCTTGACCTGGTACCACAGAGGAGGGGGTTGATAACCTCAGACAAAACTGAGGGTAGTATACGCAGCCTTGTGTCCCCCACCTTGGTGGGAGCAAAAGCCTCCCCTGGGAGGCGAAACTCCT